AGCAGCACTAGATGACAAAGACAAGGTTTCAATAAAAAATCACTCCTCATACCAAGAACCAGAAAAATCTCAACTTGAATGAGAAAAGACAATCAACAGATGCCAACACTGAGGTGACACAGATGTCAGAATTATTTGACTAGGATTTTATACAGCCATCATAAAAATTCTTCAACAAGCAATTACAAACATGCTTGAAACAAATGAAAAAATGGAAAGCCTCAGCAAAGAATAGAAGATATAAAGAATAACCAAATGGAAATTTTAGAACTGACAAACACAATAACTAAAATAAAAAACTCAATGATTCAACAACAGAATGGAGAGGACAGAGGAAAGAATCAGTGAACTTAAAGACAGAACAATAGAAATCCCTCAGTCTCAACAACAGAGAGAAAGCATACTGAAGAAAAAAAAAGAATAGAGCTTTAGGGATCTGTGGGAGGATACAGAAAATCTAATATTTGTGTCATCAGAGTCCTGGAAGAAGAGGAGAAAAAGGATGAGACTGAAAAAACACTTATAGATAAAATGGCTGAAAATTTCCCAAAAGTGGCAAAAGACATAAACTTACAGATTCAAGAAGCTGTGCAAAACCTAATCAAGATAAACCCTAAGAAATTCATGCCAAGACACATCATAACCAGACTTCTGAAAACTAAAGACAAGGAAAAAATCTTGAAAGCAATGATAGAAATGGTATCTTATATACAGAGGGAAAAAATTCAAATGACAGCAGATTTCTCATCAGAAACCATGGAGGCCAGAAGGAAATGGCACAATATTTTTCAAATGCTGAAAGAAAAGAACTGTCAACTCAGAATTATATACCCAGTGAAAATATCCTTCAGAAATGAAAGGAAATTGAGACATTCTCAGATGAAGGAAAATTAAGAGAATTTGTCACTGGCATACCTACCTTAAAAGAATGGCTAAACAAAGCCCTTTAAATAGAAAGGAAATGATAAAAGAAGGGATCTTGGAACATCAAGAAAGAAGAAAGAACAATGACAAGAACAAAAATATACGCATACACAATAAACTTTTCTTCTCTGAATTTTTTGAAATTACTCTTGATGGCTGAAGCAAAAATTATAACATTGTGGTTTTTAATGTATATAGAGGAACTATTTAAGACAGTTATATTATGAATGGGGAGTGTAAAGGGAGGTAAGATTTTTACACTTCACTCTAACTGGTAAAATGTCAATACCAACAGACTGTGATAAGTTATGTATATATAATTTCATACCTAGAGCAATTACTAAAAAGATATATAAAGAGATACACTCAAAAACACTAGATAAATCAAAATGGGATTCTAGAAATGGACAGATGAAAAGTATTATATTTATTTCTTTAAAACTCCATGTGGTTGAGATTACTTTTTACTTATGTGGGCCTTTACTTTTTCTTCTCTGTGGGTTGTTATTGTTAGTACTTGCCATCAAGTTCAGTTCACAGGACTCCTATGGGTAAGTGGCCCTAAATAGGAGTCCTACCATCAGTTAACACAGTAGCAGCAATCATTAACTATATATCATAAAAAAGCAAATAGAATAAAAGCAACAGCATAAGATAGTGGAGCCCTGGTGGTGCAGTGGTTAAGAGGTCAGTTAACCAAAAGAGCAGCAGTTCAAATCCACCAGATGCTCCTTGGAAACCCTATGGGGCAGTTCTACTCTGCCCTATAGGGTCTCTATGAGTTGGAATCGACTCATCAGCAATGGGTTTGGTTTTTGGTATACGATAGTATTCTTGGAATGACTACTTAACCCATAAATGGAAGCAAATACTAAAAGAGGACTTATAGATGGGTTTTAAGAACCCAGCATGGACCCTAAAAATAAAAATTAACTTAACTGTTCCTTTACTTACTCTAGATATTTTTCTTTACTATTCATATTCAAAGACACTCAGGCTCCAAGAATTACTTCAACAGTAGAAATAATTAACCATCATATCAAAAGTAAGTCTAAGAGATTAATCTTGTGAACTGCCAACCCAGTGCTCAATTCACTCAAACATAGTTCCTGGTTCTTATAGCCAGAATTCTTTGGAGAATATGGTCTTTGCCTGGCTAGATGTTCACCAGATCATTTCTCCCCAACCACCCCTCCCCACATTGATAGATGCTGTTTCTCAGCCTCCCTTGAAGTAAGGTATAGCCATATTAATGAGTTCTGGCCAATGGAAATGTGGATCAAAGACCTGGCCAGAAAACCCTCATGCACGATCCTCCACTCTTGTGCATCATCTGTTGGCCAGATGCAGAGGATCTAATGGACAGGACCATGAGAAGGCCCTAGGGAGTTGTGAAGCCATTAGACAGAAGGAGCTTGGGTCCCTGACTTTGAAGTGTGTCACCTGACCAGGAGCACCCGTGTGGAACTGTGGACATAAGTAAACATTTATTGTCTCAAGCCACTGAAATTGTCAGGTGTTTTGTTACAGCAATTATCCTGCCTGGACAAATACAGGGTATATATTTTTTTCTCATGCTTCCTTTCTCTACTTCTCCACAATTGACCCTGCAAAAGATATTAAATCTCCTTGGAGAAACTTGCCAACTGCTAAATGTAAGTTCTTTTTACCAGCTGCCCTCCCTTGCTAATATAGTCCACTGAACTTTTGACGTTCAAGAATGTTTTGAAGTCCAATATTGAGAGCTAAAACAATCACTCCTTGATACTTTTACAAGATCATGGTCATGAAAACTTGTCATTTCACATCCCAATTGGCACCTAAGTAAGTGGCAAATACATAGGTTTCAATTTCTACTGAGGTGCCAAACCACACAACAGAATTAAGATGATGCTGTGATCTGACAAAACAAAGTAGTTATAAAGATTTTGGAAATACTTTACCACAAGATATATCCCTAATAATTAAATATTCAAAAAATGTTAAGTACACTTAGGTGTCTTTTTCTTTCTATGACTCTACAGTTGTGAAACTTCTCAGCCTGCACAGGTTCTTAACCTTTTTTGTGCCACAGACGCATTGTAAGTTTGGTGAAGCTAATGGATCCCTTATCACAATAATATTTTAAAATGCATTGAAGAAACCCACATAGGATTTCAAAGAAAACCAACAGAATTGAAATATCCAAAACTAAACCCACTGCCGTTGATTCAATTCTGACTCTTAGCGACCCTATAGGATGGAGCTGAACTGCCACATAGGATTTCCTAGGTCGTATAATCTTCATGGGAGCAGACTGCCACATTTTTATTCTGAGGAGCTGCTAGTAGGTTCAAACCACCGACCTTTCGGTTGGCAGCCAAGTGCTTAACTACTGTGCCACCAGGGCTCCTTGAATTGAAATATGGTTATCAAAATATTTTTTAAATGTGTTATAGCCATATATATCTCTTTACTGACACATTAATAACAAGATCTAGTGGTGGGTCTAATAATTACTGCAATTTTGAAGTAGTGATGAGTGCAAATGACTTTTTGAGATATCTATAACAATTACTGTGAAATGAAAATATTTGTGATTTCCATTGGTGACACAATCACTGCTAATACTACTTGGTTTGTGTCTGTACTCAAATCAAAATAAATGTTAAATTTCAATTAGAAGTTAATGAAACTAAAGATGCAATTTTTTCCCCATCCAAGCCCACAGACTGAATTCTTTCAGTGGAGCCTGGGTAAGAACTCCAGGGCTAGAGGTTTCTCTAAAACAGCAACAGTGCTTATCTCTCAGTGGTGGAGATACCACTGGTTTACAACTTTCTCCTTTTTTGTATTTTTAAAAACCCCAAATTTTTAACAATATGCAAATATTACTTTTATAATTATGAAAGACATTAAACGATATTTGCAAAAATATATATTGGTTGGAAGATTCGGGGCCCAGAAATGAAATTGGAAAAACAAAGCAAGTTTTAAAGAAAATTCTCTAGGAAAAGGAAAAAAAATTCTGGATGAGAATGGAGAAATTGACTGTGACTTGCATCGCAGAGACTTAAAGCTGGTGAAATCTTTATGCCATTTATCCTTATACACAAAGGGATCAGTTCATTCCATGGCTCTGCCTAAGGACTGAAGCATCATAACTGTTTTAACAGGCCACGTGGCAGCTCATGGGCCACATCTGAGGTAAGAAGAGGGAACCCACAGGCAGCTATTACGTAAGTTTAGTAATCTTACCTTCCATATACTGCATTTCACACTCCTGCTGTCTACCTCCCAGCAGAGGTTTGGGAGAGAAAAGCTAGACAGTGAAATCTAACTCCTTACAGAGTCTACAAGACCCTTCTGGATCTTTTACCTACCTGACCCCATGCACCTGTCTCTCTAGCCTTTATATTCCTCCAATAAGCCAACCTTGTTCCAGCCTCGAGGACTTCGTCTTTGCTGGTCCTTTTTCCTGGCAAAGTCCAAGTGCAGAACTCCCCTAGACCAGTGTCTGGCTCCTTCTCATCCTTCTAGCTCCAAAGTCTCCTTTTCAGAGAGACCTTCCCTTGAATGCCCTATTCAAAGTCTCCAGTCCACCCACCCCTGCCTGCGGTCATCACATTACTGCCAACTGCATTCTGAAATTATTTCCATATTGTTTCTCCCACTAGACAGGACGCTACCTGAGGATAGGGACCTTGTCAATGTTACTCACCACTGTATCCTCAGCACTTAAAACTAGTACACAATAGGTGCTCATTAAATATGCAACAAATAAAAGAACGAATGGAATGCATGAACGTGAACTGTGTCCTTGGGGAGTATTCTGGCTTAGAAATATAAATCAGTTTGTCGAGCGAAAGCAAGTTTGTTAATAGCAGTTTTTATCTGTCTGCCGAGTTGTTGCTCCCCTACGACTCTTTGCAGGAGACAAAGAATCCGAAGAGAGCGGCGGAACACGGCGGGAACGCGATTAACCCTTCGACTAACCTCCTAGGCTCTCCGCGCGGAACTGCGGCTGCGCTGAGCGTGGGGCGGGACGGGGGCTTGCCTACCCCGCTCTCCGGAAGTGGGCCTAGAGACAGCGAGACGGCGCGGTGGGGCGGGCTAGAGTGGCGCGGCGCGGCCAGGCTGGGTCGGTGCGAGCCGGCCATGGAGGAAGAGCAGAGTTTCTTGGATATCTGCGGCGGCAGCCTGACGCTGCAGCGCCGCTACTACTCTCCGTCTTGCCGGGAGTTCTGCCTCAGCTCCCCTCCGCTCTCGCTGCGCTCGCTCACCGCTGTCACCTGCACCGTGTGGCTGGCGGCCTACGGATTCTTCACCCTCTGTGAGGTAATGGCGGGTCGGCCTCTCCCGCCGTCTGAGTAGGGGCTCGCATTTGGAAGGCTCTTTGGGGTCTTTTTGGTCGAGCTCGGGGCCCTTTCCGGACTCTCCTACAGTTGTATGGTCGGAGGACTGGGACTCGCTGGTTCTGGAGACGCTGTTCCCCTGCTGGACGGCTCTTTTCATTACGTATGGTGAAGTTTGTGCTCTTGTACCTTCTGCCTCTCATGGGTCCCTGCTCTGCTTTTGTGGATCCACCCAGCACACATCTTAGCCCTTGCACGACAGCCTAAAACTTAAACTTCTTTGTGCGCTGTGTAGTTATGCTTATAGTAATTTAATTCCAAGAGTTCAGAGAACGGTTAGTGGGTCGCCCTCATCCATTACTTCCACTGCTCAGAAGTATCATTGTTAACAATACCTTATATAGTCTTCCAGAAACTGTCTTTGCCTCTACAAGTGTGGATGTATATATGTCTAGATACATACACACATGTTATTTAAGATAAGAGCTTGAAAGCAGCTTTTGTAGTTCTTCCTAATCTGTTTTTCATGGCAATCTATCTACCTCCCTCAATCCTTTCCCCATCTTCAAGTATTCTAAAGAATTTTGAAATTTTCGGACATTGGTAGTTTCTGTGCTCAATTTCCAGACTCATTTTTTCTGAGCCTCAGTTTTCACATCTCTAAAATGGAATTAATATTTGCCACACCAGCTTCACAGTATTGTTGTGTGCTCTCCAATCGATTCCGACTCATAGCGACCCTATAGGACAGAGCAGAACTGCCGCGATAGGGTTCCCGAGGCCGTAATCTTTACCGAAGCTAACTGCTGCATCTTTCTCCCGAGGAGTGGCTGGTGAGTTCAAACCACCGACCTTTTGGTTAGCAGTGCCACCAGGACTCCTTTGGCAGTATTGTAGTGTGGGTCAAATGTAATAACTTTGTGACAGCCCTCAATTAAAAGGAATTCTAGGGTAAATTCTAGTTTCATGTATAGTGCCCTGGATAGAATATATTATTCCAGGAATGATCTGACCAGAGCTAAATACAGCAGAGCTATTTGTTTCTGTATTTTGGTATTGTTTCCATTACTGCATCCATTAGCTTGTTTGCTATCACAGCATATTTCAGAGCATGGTAAGTTAATGTATCTAGAACTATCTGCCTACTAAGATTAGTCTAATCTGTACCAAGTTGTATGGAAAAGTTTGTTCATAAGTCACTTGAAATAGTGATACAAATGATTAAGTTGCCAGGACAGTTCACCAATGTTTTTTTTAAATTTTATAATATAGTTGACTTTTTTTTTTTAATTGTTGTAATTAAATGAAGTTTACATTTCAAGTTAGTCTCCCATACAAAATTTTTATACATACATTGTTATGAGACCCTAACTGCTCACCCCATTCTGCGACAGGACACTCCTCCTTTCCGCCCATGATTCTCCATGACTGTTCAACCAGCTCCTAACCCTCTCTGCCTTCCCATCTCACCTCTGGACAGAAGCTGCCTCTTTGGTCTCTTGTACCTGCTTGACTAAGATTCACTCTCTTTACGAGTATCACGTTATGTTCCACAGTCCAGACCAGTCCCTGTCTGAAGAGTTGGCCTCGGAAATTGTTTCAGTTCTGGGCTGATAGAGAGTCCAGGGGCCATGCTTTCCAGGGCACCCCCAGTCTCAGTCAGACCATTAAGTCTGGTCTTCTTTCTAGAATTTGAGTTCTGCACCCCATCCTTCTACTGCTCCATCAGGGACTCTCTGTTATGTTACCTGTCAGGACGTTCATTGGTGGTATCCAGGCACCACCTAGTTCTGGTCTCAGGATGATGAAGTCTCTGGTTTATGTGGCCCATTCTGTCTCTTGGGCAAATATAGTTGACTTTTAATACTAGCCTGAGTTCTGGCCATGTGGTCACATGGGGAGCAGGGACAGATATGTATTAAATGCCTGTTTAGTGCCTGGTGTTTTACTGAATACCTCATTTCAACCTTAGAAGAAAACCAAGGCTCAGAAAGAGTAAAAACTTATCAAAGGTCACAAAGCTACAGAGTTAGTAAGTGGTAGATCTAGGATTCAGACCCAAGGCTATCTGATTCTGAAACCCTTTCTTTTCCTTTATACTGTGTTGCTTCCCCCATGAGGAAGTCTGATCTTAGAAAAAATTTTAAAATAGGAAAATTTTGTTTTTATGCCAGCTCCATTTTTTACTTTTCCCTGTCATCCCGGTGTACCCTGCTCCTACCCCCATCAAGTACCTGCCCAGAACTCAGTGATCTCATCTTCCTTTAAACTTTACTGCAACACTTCCTAAGAGCTCTGTGTACCAAAATTTCTTATTTTTCCTCCTACTCAAAACTTTTCCTCAGAGTAATGAATCTCAGCTAGGTTTTAAGAGTGAGAAGAAATCTGATTGAAGGAATTCATTCAAAGATGTTAGTTCTTTATATAGCGGCTTAATCCTAACCCAAACGAATATCGAATTATTAGAGTTCTAGACAGGAAAAAAAAGATGAAGTAGAAAAAATGTAGGTAGCGATAAAGTTTTTTGTCAGGGATTACCTTATTGGAAAGCTGACATGGATCAAATCTCCTAAGCGTTTACTATTCCTTACCCTTCTTCCCTTTCCGTTTTTGAATTCATGGTTCTATAAAAGTTGCAGGTTTTTACCTTATTTATTGCAACCTGGAATATTCTTTCCTCTTCCTTTTCAACAAACTATATCCGTCAATACCCACGACCACCTCCTCTTGGCTAATTAAATCCTGCTCCATTGGAAGTCTTCATGGGATGTTCCATTGTACTTTTATGTCTCTCTTTTTTTTAACCCTTCTTTCAGCACTTACAGTATCATATTATTCTCCAAAATATTTTATATGTGAGGCTTTTGCCTCTAATAAACCTATAAGGGCCAGGACTGGATTTTACTCCTCTCCATTCTTTTTTTGTAAATAATATTTTATTGTGTCTTTGGTGAAAGTTTACACAGCAGGTTAGGTTCCCATTTAACAATTACTACACATACTGTTCAGAGGCATTGGTTACATTTTTCACAATGTTTTAACATTCTCATTAATTCCCTTCTGGATATTTCCCTTCTCGGAATCTTATTTCCCTATCCCCTTACCCTTTCATCTTTGCTTTAGAGGAATTGTTGACCATTTGGTCTCATATAGATGATTTCTTAAAGGTATGCAGTACTCACTGGTAATATTCTTTATTTTATGAGCTATTCTTCCATAATGCTTATTCAGTTCAGACTATGTACAAGACACTGTACTAGATACCGGGCAGTTAGTTAACTTAAAGTAAATGTATATATATTGTCTCCAACCGGATTTATTCAATACAGTGAAATTCTGTATACAAAGTAATCTGGACATGCTGCTTCAAAACATTATCTTTCTTACCAGTTTTTGTTTTTTCTAATTGTACTTTAGATGAAGGTTTACAGAACAAATAGTTTCTCATTGAACAGTTAGTACACATATTTTATGACAATGGTTAACAATCCCATGACATGTCAATATTGTCCCTTCTCAACCTTGGGTTCCCTGTTACCAGCTTTCCTGTCCCCTGCTGTCTTCTAGTCCTTGTCCCTGGACTGTTGTGCCCCATTAGTCTCATTTTGTTTTATGGGGCTGTCTAATCTTTGGCTGAAGGATGAACCTTGGGAGTGACTTCATTACTGAGCTAAAAGGGTACCCAGGGGCCATACTCTCGGGGTTTTTCCAGTCTCTGTCAGGCCAGTAAGTCTGGTCTTTTTTTTGTTTGTTTTTTTGTTTATTGTTGTAGTTTAAATTTACATTTCAAATTAGTCTCTTATAGAAAAATTTATACATACATTGTTATGTGACCATAATTGCTCTCCCTATACTGTGACAGCACACTCCTCCTTTCTACTCCTGATTACCCATGTCCGTTCGACCAGCTCTTAACCCTCTCTGCCTTCTCATCTCACCTCCGGACAGAAGCTGCCCATTTAGTCTAATGTATCTACTTGAGCTAAGAAGCACACTCTTCATGAGTATAATTTTATGTCCCACAGTCCAGTCCAGTCTTTGAAGAGTTGGCCTTGGAAATTGTCTTAGTTCTGGGTGGATAGAGAATCCTGAGGCCGTGCTTTCTGGGGTTCCTCCAGTCTCAGACCATTAAGCCTGATCTTCTTACTAGAATTTGAGTTCTGCAGCCCACCTTTCTCCTGCTCCATCAGGGACTCTTTGTTGTGTTTCCTGTCAGGGCGGTCAGTGTGGTAGTCCGGCACCATCTAGTTCTTCTGGTCTCAGGCTGATGAAGTCTCTGGTTTATTGGCCCTTTCTGTCTCTTGGGCTAATACTTTCCTTGTGTCTTTGGTGTTTTCATTCTCCTTTACTCTAGGTGGTTGGGACCAATTGATACATCTTAGACGGCAGCTCACTAGCTTTTAAGACCCCAGACACCACTCACCAAAGTAGGATGCAGAACATTTTCTTAATAAGCTTTGTTATGCCAGTTGACCTAGTTGTCCCCTGAAACCATGGTCCCCAGACCCCCACCCGTGCTACTCTCTCCCTGGAAGTGTTTGATTGTATTCAGGAAACTTCTTAGCTTTGGTTTAGTCCAGTTGTGCTGACTTCCCCTGTAGCGTGTGCTGTCCTTCCCTTTGCCTAAGATAATTCTTGTCTACTATCTAGTTAGTGAATAACCCTCACCTTCCCTCCCCACCTTCATAACCATCAAAGAATGTTTTCTTCTGTGTTTAAACCTTTTCTCGAGTTCTTATAGTAGTGGTCTTATACAATAATTGTCCTTCTGTGACTGACTAAATCCACTCAGCATAATGACCTCCAGCTTCCTCCATGTTATAAGATGTTTCATGGCTTCATCGTTGTTTTTTATCATTGCGTATTATTCCATTGTGTGGATATACCATAATTTGTTCATCCATTCATCCGTTGATGGGCACCTAGATTGTTTCCACCTTTTTGCTATTGTGAATAGTGCTGCAGTGAACATGGGTGTGCGTATATCTATTCATGCGACAGCTCTTATTTCTCTAGGATATGTTCCAAGGAGCGAGATAGCTGGATCGTATGGTACTTCTATTTCTAGCTTTTCAAGGAAGTGCCAAATTGATTTCCAAAGTGGTTGTACCATTTTACATTCCCACCAACAGTGTATAAGTATTAAGTCTGGTCTTTTTTTGTGAGTTAGAATTTTGTTCTACATTTTTCTTCAGCTCTGTCCGGGACCCTCTGTTGTGATCCCTGTTAGAGCAGTCAGTGGTGGTGGCCAGGCACCATCTAGTTGTACTGGACTCAATCTGGTGGAGGCCATGGTCGTTGTAGTCCGTTAGTCCTTTGGACTGATCTTTCCCTTGTGTCTTGTTTTCTTTACTCTCCCTTGCTCCCGAAGGGGTGAGACCAGTGGAGTATCTTAGATGGCTGCTCACAGGTTTTTAAGACCCCAGATGCTCAAAGTAGATATTTTTGGATCATCAGATACCCAGCACCAAATCCTTCTATCGAGTACGAGGTTATCTAGCACACTTTTTCTTTAAAGAGCCAGATAGTAACTATTTTAGGTTTTGTGGGCTGCATGTGTTATCTGTCACACATTCTTCTTTGTTTCACCCAAATGTAAAAGCCATTCTTAGCTCAGGATGGGCTGTACAAAAACAGGCACAAGCCTTGAATAGTTTGTAGACCCTTGATCTAGCACTTAAGAGTGTTAGGTGGAAGAACAAAAATACTAAGAATAAGAAGGTGCTTCCTGTCCTCAAGCAATGACAATCTGTAGGAAGTATCATAAATTACCATATTTCTTCGATTCTAAGTCATCAAAGTGCCATTATTTTAAATAACAACTTTGTGGGAAAAAAGAGAAAGCGATGCCGTGTGAAAGAAACACACATCAGTTGAAGGACACATTTCACCTCCAGAAATGTTAAAAGGTTGTAAACGTGTATCTTAGAATCAAGGGGATAAATAAAAAAACAAAAACCCATTGCCGTCAAGTCGATTCTGACTCACAGCGACCCTATAGGACAGAGTAGAACTGCCCCATAGGGTTTCCAAGGAGCGCCTGGTGGATTCAAACTGCCAACCTTTTGGTTAGCAACCAAACTCTTAACCACTACGCCATCCGGGTTTCCAAGGGGATAAATAATAGCTACCATTTTTGAGCCCTTACGATATCCATTAGACAAAGTTAGCTGCAAGTAACCCAAAACTACTAAAAGAGACTTAAAGGATAAGGAACTTTATTATTTAATAAAACAAGAAGTCCAGAGGTAGAAGGTCTTCAGAGTTTGATTACATAAGATATTCACTGGACGCTGGTTCTTTTCATCTTATGGCTCTTCCCTCCTCCGTGTACACTACTTGTCTTCAGCTTAGCTCTTCACTTCATCTGGCGGAGGCCATGGCATCAAAACCTCACCATAAACCTCACAAAGAAAGGACCTTCTCTTCCTTAGCTCTCTTTTTAAGATGAAGTAAGTTTTTCAGAAGCCCCTTGAGCAGACCTCCCCTGACATCTCATTGGCCAGACTTGTCATGTGCCCATTCCTAACCAATCATTGGCAAAAGGAGTGGCAACCAGTCATGATTCAGTCTAAGTTCTATTAGGAAGAAGTGGCAGTTGCATAGGCAATGAGTAGTATCTGCTGCACTAGTGCTAAGTACATGACAGTTGTTCTGTGTATGATTTTGCAGTATATATTCTGCTGAGGGAGCATGAGAGGAAAAGATCTGGGTCCCTAAAATGCACTTTGGAAGAAAAATCTCTGAGATTGGTGTGATGGTGGACATTTTGCTGTGGGTTCTCCTCAACAAACCTATCCATTTGGAAGCTGTCTGGATCTATTTCACTGTACACTTGGGTGTTGTTGGTTGCCATCAAGTTGATTCTGACTCATGGTGACACCATGTGTGCAGAATAGAACTGTTACATAGGGTTTTCAAGCCTGTGACCTCTCAGGAGCAGATCGACAGGCCTGTCTCCCGAGGCACCTCTGGGTGGGTTCGAACTGCCAACCTTTCTGCTAGTAGTCAAGCACTTAACCATTTACGCCACCCAAGGACTCCTGTATACTTGCATAGCACCTCAGAACCCAGATAAAAGTGGTTTCCTTTTTTGTATGGTTTCCTCTTATGTCTGTTTCTTTCATCATGTCAACTCATAGTAGAACAAAGATTTTTGCCTTTCCTTTGTCCCACTCTGTCCCCCATCCCCCCACCCCGAGCTGATTTGTTACACAGCAGCAATGTGTGGAGGACCACTTGGTAATCTTACTGCCTGTGTCTGGCTCTCTCTTCAGAACAGCATGATCCTCTCTGCTGCCATCTTCATCACCCTCTTAGGCCTGCTTGGTTACCTCCATTTTGTGAAGATTGATCAGGAGGCTCTGTTAATCATTGATTCCCTGGGCATCCAGATGACCTCATCCTACGCCTCAGGCAAAGAAAGCACCACCTTCATTGAGATGGACAAAGTGAAGGATATTGTCATTAATGAGGCTATTTACATGGTAAGTGTTTGTATAATAAGTATTACAGGCCTTTCTGGAGGAAGTGGCAGATGAGGTGTTCCTGAATCTAAACTGAGTTTTTAATTCTATGACATCAAATACCTGAAGTATTTGATGCCACAGAATTAAACTTGAGGACTCTTCTGCTCCAGTACTTGTAGTGTTTCCTTTTTTGGCTGACTTGTCTATAAACCATAAGAGTAAAACTTATGTTGAAAAGGTAAGACTCTTTATTTTTAAAGAGAAGCAATAGGTTTTTATAAATAAGGTATTAGCACTTCAACTTTAGTTTCTAGCCCACCTTCAAAATCATCTTTTTTTTTTATTTAAAGAATGAGACTATACTTCTCCTTTCCCATTTCAAGGTTATCAAGTGTTCTACTACTTAGAGATAACTATTTATGAAGAAGTTTTGAGCCTCCCCTTGAAGAAGAAAAAGAAAAAATAGAGTTTCACTTAGACTTCTGCTGTTTGGTTTCTTTCTTACAGCAGAAGGTGATTTACTACCTCTGCATTTTATTGAAGGATCCAGTGGAACCACATGGGATATCCCAAGTAGTACCTGTCTTCCAGGTGAGCACAGAACACTTTTCTTAAGTTTTCTTTCTCCAGAGAAATCCTCTACCTCCTCTCCTACTCACTCCCTGCATATGCACTGCTGTTTATGCTCAGTCAGAATGTAAACTTTTGTCAGAGTTTTTGAGGATACCTGGCAGCTATTTCCAGCAAGAGTTAGGATTTTAGTTATTTTAGAAGTTCCTCTCTGAGGCAACTATAGGCTTTCAAAAATAAAATGAATTCATGCAAATTTTAGAGAAAAAATAAATACGTAGCAACTTCTGCCTATAAATTACCATTCATGTACTTTGACTCTCAGTTTACCATTATACAGTTTTGCATAGATGTCATTAATCTACACATATACCTACACATATTATATACATTTTGTGTTTTGCTTTTTATTTAATATGCATTTTCATGCATATGCAAGGCCATTATACTTAATTATATATTATTCCATCATGTTGAAATATCATAGTTTACTTTAGCCGCTCTGTTGCTAACTTTTTAAATTGTGTCCAGATTATTTCTTGTTTTGCTCTTATAAAAAACCACTTGTACAAACATGATTATAATAAATTACTTTATAGGTGCATATTTATGTATGCATTTAACCCTGCCTCACTGCTCTTCCTTTTTCACGATTTAAAAAAAAATTTTTTTTTGCATTATAGTTTCAAATTGTAACTATTTTATTAAAGTTTATGAGTAGTTCTATGGGTTTTTTTAGTGTTTGAGATTAGGCTGCAGAGATTGGACCACTTTAACATGCTATTGGGAATTTGTACTTGGCTTTTCCGCAGTCTTGGCTAGCAGTGGATTCAACTGTTTTTTTAGTTTAATATGTAGGTAAAGGCATTTTAAAATTATTAAATTTGTATCTTTTTAAATGATTCACTCTTCATATTTCCTTATATGTATTTCTTGTCAGTGTTTTGTTTTAAACTATCTCCTGTAGTAGTCGAGTCGAGTCTAGATAATTAGTTATGTAACAATTCTTTATATATTTTGGGTAGCAAACTTTTATTAAATATTCTTTCCATATATATTTTCCCCATTCTGTGGCTTTTCTTTCAGTTTTGGTTGTGTTACATTTCATTTCAAAAAATGTTTTCCAGTATTTACATATTAAACTGTCCTTCTGGTCTCTGAGGACTCTGTGTTAGCTTGTAACACTTACTGAGAGGGTCTGTCCTTGTTATTCCTCTTGCTTACTCTTAGAGGTCGTGAAATTTAGACAGATTAAAAAATTGTCTTTTGAGCTTCTGCCTCACACAAGTCACAGGCTGGGCTGTGGGCATAGTTTTGGAGTCCTCCCAGCAAGGTGCTTTGAGGTCTGAACTTCCTGCTCTTTGAGCTCACATCTCTGCCATTTATGCCCCTTGATGTGGGTGAGTGATTGAGTTTGCACATGGATGCAACACCACTGAGCACTCTCTTATGTTCATCTTGACTCTGCATTTCTTCCCTTTGGAATTCAGAGTGCCAAGCCCCGGCTGGACTGCTTGATTGAAGTGTACAGGAGCTGCCAGGAGATCCTGGCACACCAGAAAGCCACATCAACAAGCCCATGAGTCCCACCACTCAAAAGGCCAGTATTGTCTTCCATGGGAGGTGACTCTTAAGCCATAGTGGCTGGTTTACTTTCTGTATTCTAAACCATCACGTGGACACAGTTCTAGGAACCAGTGTGGATGGATGCTGTGGATCTCAGAGCCATAGAGGAGGTGACTGGAAACCTAACTCGTGTGATGCTGAGCAACATATTTCTGTGTAGCTTAGTGTTCCCCTTGTAAGGTTTTGCCTTCTTTACCAACTGAGGGGAGACTTTAAGAAACGATATTGCAAAAATAATATCAGCAAAGAGCACTTTTGTGAAATTCCTAAGCACATTTAGTTTACTTTGTGTTGAAATTTGTGGAGCAAGACAGTGGGAAACTGACATCAGATCTCTTGAGAAAGGTATCATTTCCAGCTGCATAGCACCACTGTATAACAGTTAATAATAAAAAGGCCAGCCCTTCAGGTACTAGTTAGAAGGAAGAAATGTCCCACAAAAGACCATTCTGTGTCCACCTAGCTCCTGTGTTCTGTACAGGGTTAATTTATAACTCTCTTAATAAACAAATCTCCTTCCAAAACATACACAATAATTGCCTGGTTCACAGACAGCTGCTTTTTATTGACAAACACAATCATGGCATTTCAGTCATGGGTGTCAAGCACATGAATACTTTTCTGTTACTCAGCATTAGCTACAGTTTCAAAAGCTTTTTCCAAGAGGGATGAGACAAAAGGTCAGACAGACATTTGACTTTGGTTTCCAGATGTGGGACTTGCGTGTTAAAGAAGGATAAACAAGAGAACTGTAGAAACGTTTGTTTACAAGGAAGTTTCTTTTGTATAAAATTAATAAAGTAAGAGAGGATTCCTGAAGGATTGGGAAGGAGAGAGGGTGGGGGAAATAGCATGGCCTCAAGTTCAGTATGAAAACAACTCCATTCTTGCTTACTCTTTCTTTGGAATCCTAATTTTTTTTTTTTTAAACTTCCCTCCCTGGCAGATAATGTTATCCTCAATGGTCCTAGAGACACTCAAGATATTAAAAACCAAAGCTGTAATCTCTGCCTTTTACACCAGCCCTGGAGAGGTTATCTAGGAACCTGTGGTATATGTGAGATGTGACTTGTCTGAGGTAGAAACGTCTCAGCTAGATCCCCAAATCCTGGTGGAAAAGGCAGAACAGAAGTGGGAGATGGCTGTATAACTGCCTGTCTTATAAAGTCAAGTTCATTTATAAGAGGCAGACTGATGTGCTTTTTTTCATCATGCTTGTCAGTTTAAAGGGTGAAGAAGGGGAAGCTTACAGCAGCTGAGGTGTTTATATATAAACTACTTCCAGCATATTGTTTTTGCAGTGTGCAAGCAGCACACATTGTTAAAGGCTTGGTTCTTGGATGTTACTGCTAAACCCATCCAGTTTTTAGCACTTTACTGACAAATGGCAAAATTGCCTTAGAACTATGAAATAAAATTCATTTTCTCAGGTGTTGGAATATCAGAGTGTGAACTCTTCGTTTTGTTTTGTTTTTTCTATTCGGGGAAGGTGGGAGACAACTGTCATCTCCTCTGCTCTCGACTAGTTCTGGAGGGGGGATATTGGTGTCATCACTCTGACTAAAGGGGAAAGAAAACTTCAATTTCTTTCACCTAATGCTGTTAGGCTAGAACAGATATCACATACATGCCCTCTGTCCTCAAACTAACTCCCAGTGGAAGTTTGCCAGAAGTCTTGAGGAACAGTTCAGGGCCATGAGCCTGGAGGGGTTCTCTGTGTTCGTGACTCATCTTTGGTAGCCTCTCAGAGCAGCAAAAAGCAGAGCACGTTTGCTTGGCCTTTCAAAGAGTGGAGACACAAATAAGCATCACCTCACCCTACAGTAGTGAGCACCACCTTACCTTACAGTAGTGAGCACAGCCTTCACTGAGCCCTGTCCAGTTGCTAAAATGAGATAGGGTGAGGTCAGATTGGACCACCCCCTGCCCTTGCTTGGACAGTGTGTGGTACTGAGTTTGGCTGACAGTCCAGTGTGTAAGAGAATAGTTTCATTCTTAGCAGGGATACCATGTTGTTCTGCAAAGATAGGAGCTGATGCCCCAGAAGGGGTACTATAAACATCTACTCGTCAGTAAAGGGGAAGGGTGAGTCTATTCCTTTTTATCCAGTACCTTTCCCACCTGGAAAGGAAGTCCAGTTTTAATGAGTTCTAGGCTTTGTTAGAAGTTCAGTTGAAATGGAAATTTTAGTCCTATCCTGTTCAGGGATGTTGGGAAAACTTCAAGTATAAATCCCCAAGTAAGGACCATATACATAGTAAAAAATATCTCACTTCCCTGAGAGTACCTTGGCGTACAGGACTGATGCCCTCAGGTACAGTGGACCATTCCCTGTCTGTGTCTAGATAAGGTAGCAGCCAGAGCTCAATATTCTTGTGGAAAAAAAGTAGTTTCATCACTGGGTCTAGATTTTGAAAAGTTGGGCCCTGAAACATAAGGAACCTGGAGAATAAAGGCTTTGTAGACAATGAAATACTCAAAACATTTCACAGAATAAACCAAGGAGGGGTGGGAGACAGTTAGACCCATCACAGTAGTATCAGATACCCCAGGATATATAGTTAATCCTACAGGGACCAGGTGTAAGGGGTGGGGCGTGGGTAGGGAGTAATCTTCACAGTAACGTTGGCCCCTTGGTAGCACGTGGAAGAGAAGCAAAGAACTGTTGTCCATCCAGTTCCCAAGGCTGGTGGGAAGCAGGCGGGTTGGTTGGTGGGTTCACAGTTGCAGAGCAATGGTTCATGTAGCTGGCCATGATGAGAGTAGCCTCTGCAATCTAATGAGAAGACAGAAACAAAGGAATTGAACTGGCCTCGGCTTGAATGCTGGCTTTCTCACTTACTGATTGTTGGGTACCTAGCCTTTCTGGGGTTCAGCTTCTTCATCTCTTTAAATACCCACCTGGGAGAAAATGTACAAAGGGGATCATTACTGTGAGGTTCCTCTAGAGGCCCAGTAAAATGAACATCTCTTGGTCTGGAGGTGCTCTGAGATGCACAGTACCCTCCCGAGGAAAGGAGGACCAGCCATTCTGCTCCGATTGCCTACATAGCTGGGGAAGGGGGCCTTCTTGGAGGAAGGAGTGTGTTATGTCCTCTTGTTTGGCAGGGGTGATATTAAAGGAGGAGGAGGTTTGGCAAACTCCAACCTTAGGATTAAAAGTAGAGGCAATAGGGTTTCTAGTTACTCAGAAGAGAGTCAAGAACTATAAATCAGAACTTCTTAGGTTTTTGAGCCTTTGCAATTGTTATTTTTACTAGTTAACATTTCCTGTACCAAACTATAAGGAACGGGGAGCACTGTGGAGACTGTCCCACTTTGTGGCTAGTGTTGGGGACAGCAGAACTCAAGACAGAGTGAGAATACCTTTAAAAAGGAAGCTGGTCTGGCCCTAGGACCTGCTGCAGGGAAGAAAGAAAATGGGCCTGCATGGTGCTGGGGCTTGAGAGAACTAAAAATGATAAAGTAAAAAGCATAGTAGTAGCTGGACCAGAGTTAGTTCCTCCCCAGTCAGCCCTTTCCACCAGCAGCTCAATAGTGACTACTGAAATGCAACTCCACCTGGACCTTCTGGAGTACTGATTATAGACAGGGCCAAATATTTTATAAGGAGGCAGGGCCCTTCTGGAATACTATTATAACCCCAGTTTCCTCTCTAAGCTCCAAGCCCACCACGCCATATCAATAGAGTAAAATGTTTTAGCAACTGTCAGACCCACCTTGGGAGCAGCCATCCGGAAGATCAACTTCTCAACATGGCCTTTTCCAGAATTCTGGTCTGGAATGGATCTAATCACAAGCATGAAGTCATCCCGGCAGCCACCAAAGGTAGTCACTGAAGAGTAGGGGTAAGTGACATGCACTTGCTGTGGAAAGGAGCGAGTTAATTCTGGGGGAACTTTCCACTTGGCCTCCTGACCTAGGAACCATCATCTCTCATCTAGGCACAGGTAGCCTTAACCAGGAAGGAGAACTCTGAAATGGTCACAATTTGGAGATCTACGTCTTGAATGCCTACAAGCTACGTCTAGACTCTACAGGACAGCTATGCTTAGGCAAGGGGTGGGGAAGCCATGGCCACTTAGCTCAATCGATAGACATGGAGAAGAAAAGACAATGTTCAGGAAGAAGGGGTCATCCCTCCATACCATAGTGTTGTGGTCTAGGATGCTGACACCATCCTCATTCACAGCAATCCACACCAGAGTATTCTCCTTGGAAGACAGCTGGGTAGGCTGGGAAACAGAAAAATCCCATCAGACATATCCACAGCCTAGGGATTCTGAACTGTAAGAACTTTCTGAATAAGAAGGCATATCCAGGGGTATGCTAAGCAGTAATGTCCGACCTTTTTCTCATCTTCGAGAACTAAAAAATAGTGTTTGTTTACTGAAGTAAATAGACAAAGCTGCCCATGGCAGGAGGCATCTAGCCTTGAGGCTCTGGCCACTTACCTAACCGTCCAGGCGTGAAGGGGATTGAGCTCGTGACATACCTATAACCCATCATGCCACAGAACACTAGTTGGGAAGCTCTGTGCTGCAGAAAAGAGGCCAGCCTTGGCTGCCTTGTTATGGGCATGGGGAACAGAGTCCCTCCCAGCTGAAGTGCATCTTGCTTCAATCAATTTCCTAGGGACTGTAAAAGAAATAGGGAAGCAAGAATGCAATTTTATGGGCTTTAGACCCTACTAGTGAGAAGAGTGACTATTTAGTGGGCATTTCCTAGGAGAACTAATTTTCACTGCCAGAGCTGCAGGAGGGTAGTCCAGAAGATTTCCTATCTCTCCTTCCTAAAAGGCTGGGGAGAGGGATGGACACGTCACCTTTATTGGAAGCTTTTCCTAACCTCCCAGACTAAATGGGCACCCTGTTTTTATAAGACCCCTGTACTTTTCCTTCATAGCACTTGTTTAACAGTTTATTTTAAAAAATTAATTGAAAATTATACATATATACATACCCACGTACCCGGTGCTGTCGAGTTGATTCCGACTCAGCAACCCTATAGGACAGAGTAGAACCGCCCCATAGGGTTTCCAAGGAGGGGCTGGTGGCTTCAAACTGCCAACCTTTTGGTTAGCAGCCAAACTCTTAAACCACTGAGCCACCAGGGCTCCTATACATATATACATATGCACATATATACATATATAGGGAGAATGATTATTTGATTAAGTGTATCTTCCCCATTAGATGGGAAGCTCCACGTGTCTTATTTGTTCCTCCTGTAACCTCAAACAACTAGCACAATGCCCGAGACATAGTAGGAACACAAGAACTGTTTGTTGAATGAATGAGTCTATGAATGTCCAGTGTCTGATCTGTAGCTTCAGGAGGATCAGTAGCTTTGAGGACACGATAATCTTCGGTGATGATATACAAAGTTCATGCACGTCAGACACCCAGTGAGAAAAAGTTTCCATTGAAATTACTATTGGTCACCTGGCCAATAGTAACATTAACAGTTGCCTAAGTAGTTTGATTTCCTTGTGTGCTATGTAAAGCTATTCCAGATTTATTTGTTTAGGTTTAAGCATTGTTCTATCATTCAAACTTTTTTAAAAATGAAAGCACTCCTGAGAGGGTTATCATATTCAGTCTGAACCCTTGTGTGTGAATTAGTTGATCTGCCTTTTCTTTCAAGAGTAATATTGGCAAAGAAGTCAACTAAAAGATAGATGAGGATCACCCAGAACTAACTCTGGCCCAGAAGCAATGACCTTGGAAATCTGGAGCATGCCAGAAGTGAGTGGAGAGTTAGCGACCCCTGGTGGTTGTGAGTGTGGAGGCAGGGGCTGCAGACTGGACTGGCTCAAACATGGCCAGGTGGAGACGGAAGTTCCAGGAGAAATTTGGGGCATTCCTGAGGGTGTGGACTACTCCTTGCACTGGTAACCACTGGCACTTACCTGAGCAGTAAAGAGCTTAGCACCAAAGAAGGGCCACTTCCGGGCCACGGTCAAGTAGATGCGGATGCATTCAGGAGGGGAGCAGCCTTGCAGTGCTCCCCACTTTGTGGTCAACATATCTGCCAGGTGCCTAGTTTGGACAGATGGAGAGAAATGGTACCAGTGAAGTGCCAACATGTTTTCATTAAAGCTCATGCCTCCCCACAGTGATACACCCCCAAGACCTTGCAGCTTACCTCAGCTGTTCAGGTGGGGCCCCATGTCTGTAGCGCCTTGGGAAGAACCTGTCTAGGACCTGCTGGAGGAGATGCTGAGCCTTGGCAGGAGGTGTGCCCCCAGGGCCTGGCAGGATAGGCTTCTCCAAGTCTCCATATTCTACCTGTGGTAGAAGCACATGGGGAAACTAGTCAAGAATCTAGAGGTAGATGAGGTGGGGGGCTGCTGGAGAGGTGAAATAAACCATTACTTCCTTACTTTGTTGGTTGAGTATGAATGGATGTAAAAAACACTTGTGAACAGAGCTTTTATGTCAAGTTTCATAGACACTAGAGAAACAACCTTAGGCTCCTAGAATATTAGAGATTATCTAGACCAACTCTCATTTTGCAGCTGAGGTTAAGTGCCTGATATCCAAAGGCATAGTTAATTAGTGGCAGACAAGGGAAAAAATGTGGAAAGTCTGGCCTCCAATCCAAAAAGCATATAAAAATGGGATACAGGATTGAAAATGCTACAGATTCTAGAGTATAGTAGTGTTCCAAGTGTGGCCTTTGGAGTTGGACAGCTGGTTCAAATCCCAGCACCGCCATTTACCAACTTTGTGACCCTGATCAAGTTATTTAAACTCTCTGAGATAATACATGTAAAATGCTTAGCACAGAGCTGACTACAGAGTATTCAATAAATGCTGATTATTATAAAGATCAACTATTATTATTTCCCTCCTTCTCCAGCATGTAGGTTCAGACTCTTTCTTATGGGGACCATGAAGGTGTCCCAGATACCTTTGGCAAGACAGTCTCCTAAAGATAACAGGGAGGAGAGTCAAAGTCCGACTGAGTTTCTCTTCCTTGTCTACTTACAGTGTGTGACGGTTTACAAATATTATCACATACATGATCTTAGAACTTTGTTTTCAGTATACAGAGAAAACTAAAGCACAGAGAAGTAAAGTGACTTGCCCAAGATCTCACAGCTAGAAGGTGTCCAGGACTCAGATGAAGGTCTCTGGATTCTAAGTCTAGTGTTCTACACTTAGCCTGTATTTGCAGTGATAGCCAGGGACAGCACAGCTGCCCTCCCACCATGGGATCTGCAGACTCGGCTGTGTTTCACACTGCATGGTGTGTCCCCCACCCTCGTGAGTCCAAAGATGGCAGCCTGACATTCCAGATTCCTGAACAGAAACTTACCTGGGCCATAAGGGCAGCCATCTCAAGAGCCAGTTCCTTGTTGACAGGAAACCTCCCTGCCACTATCTCTCCACTAGTCTGGAAGGCAAGCAGCAGCCGCTCTCGCTCGGTCTCCCCTTTGACTTGACTCCGAAAGTACAGCCTATAGGGAAGAGAATGAGAAGAGGCCAGGACTTGGCTGGCCTCCCAAATACGGATGAAGCTTTCTCAGGATCTGTTTGTCTATATTTTCAAAAAAAGAAACTACTTCTTATACCATTTGTGTGCCTATCTTTTATTGCCTCCAGAAAAATTTAACAGTATGACACAGAGCAGATATAGGGCCATGTAGATCTCATACCAACAGTGGCATGTGGTTAATTCTGAATATACCATTAGACTTAGTGGCTTTGGTGAGAGGAATCTGGTACATGGAATCATAGCTTATGAGGGAATTGGATGAGTTAAGATTCCGATAAAACCAAAAAACCAAACCCATTGCCATGGAGTTGATTCTGACTCATAGTGATTCTACAGGACAGAGAACTGCCCCATAGGGTTTCCAAGGAGCAGCAGGTGGATTCCAACTCCTGACCTTTTGGTTAGCAGCCAAGCTCTTAACCCCTGTGCCACCAGGATTCCAAGATTCCAATAGACCAATGGAAATTATTTGTCTGGAGACATATCTTGGATGTTTTCTTACTTAAACTGATAGAAAGTCAGGATGTCTACTTCTGTATTTCCTGGAATTGGTATAGGAGCTACTTACTCTTTAGTCTTAAATATTTAATGCCCATACAAAATCTTACTCATAAGGTAATCCATGAGGTTGGTCTGTTTTCTTGGCGGGTGTGTGCAGTACAAAGGAAGGCAGACTGAGAGCCTGAGCTGCCCAGGGCCTCACAGAGGATCAGGAGCAGAACCAGCCTGGGCCCCCAGATGATGACCACCAAGCAATGTTATGTCTGTCTCTGGGCCCCTCTGCCTCTCCAAGACAGGCTGCACAGTTGGGGAGGGGCTGAGCTGGCACCTCAGTGGCAGCCCTCATGTTTGGCCCACCCTCAGCCAGTGCTCAGGACCTGTTCTTGTACATCAGCTTCACGATGCGTGTGCCACCCTCAGACTTCCCAGGATGCAGCTCCTTCAGGGCTTGTTCCCACTTGGAGATGGCATCGCAGATCTTGAGGAGGCAAAAGAGGAAAGTCAGAAAAGCTCATGAAGAAGGGAAGCCAGGTCCAGCTAGGGCTGGACTTGGACAGAGCAGAACAGCAGAGCTGAGTGACTGTCCTCCTGTCAGGAAGCTGACCTGTGAGGCCTCACGCTCCTGGGACCTGAGGTGTGTGTGACTCCCTCATGAATAGCTGGAGAGGTGGAAGGAGCCCTGTACATGATATGAGCAGCAAAGGAAGGAATGCTGCCCTCACTGGCCCGAACAAGCTTCCCCCCAACCCCAGTCAAAAAACATGACCTTATATCACTGGCTCCATTTCCAATACACTGACTGCCATTCTCTTCTTCAACAAATATACCCAGAGGCCTACTGTGTAACAAAGCCTTACAGGGGCCAGAAACTTTACAAAGAAGACATGACATAGTTATTCCAGGCAGGGTAAGAGACTATAGAAGTCTCTGTCCTGTTACCATAAAGAAAGCAGATACTGGCGCTGAAATACTCATATTCAAGTGCTACAGCACGTTCCCACAAACACTTAATATCTGCCATGGCACTAATCCCAGACCACAATACAAGGTAGAGGTTTCTTAAATCCCAGTCAAGGGCCTTTGCTTACAGAGGTAACCATAAGGATCTACCCCCTTAAAATGTGGGTGGACCTACAGCGGACCTCTAGTGGCCCTTGCAGACAAGGTATAAGGGAGGTGCTGGTGTACGACACGGCTTGCAGTGGATCTAGGCAGACAGGTGTCCACCTATGAGTAGGTGTCCATATTGGCAGCAGGCTTGGTTGGAGCTGCTGCTGAGAAGTGCCTCCCTGTCCTTCCTCCACTGAACTGAGAAGAAGCTTTTCTCCTGAATGCTGTGCGGCCACTTGCGGGAAACAGGTACGGAGATCTTGTTGCTGGAGACATGAGCACACAACAGCTTTTCTCTGCCTGCAGGTATGTTTTAGGATAGCACAGAAATGCTGACCTTTCACTTCCCAATCACACATCTGTGTCTTTGTGACTTGTGGGAACACCTTGGGCTCGGCACCAAATGGGTTGCTGAACAGCCAGGCACCCACCAGATGCGCTCTCTCCCCAAGGTGGTCAGGAGATGTCAGTCAGCTTAGTGGGGAGACTATCACCTTGACACTCCCCTGGAGGCAGTGTTCCAGGTCCCTGCCAGAAGGATCATCCGTGAAGAGGGAAAAACCAGAATGGGAAGACTTTCTCATGCCTGTCTCCTGATTCAGCCGCTGGAGGAACTCATCAACTGTGGAGGAGCCATCAAAACCAACCACCTGAGGAGAGAGAAATGTCCTGTCCCAGAGTGAACTTCCCGAGATGAGTTCACCAGGGCTAGTGAAGGGAGCTGTGTACAGGAAGTGGGAAGTGCTGGCCTAACGGAGCAAGGGGGAATGCAAGAGGCCAAAGAAAACTGGTTTCACATTCACATGCGGAGGACAAGTGCTTAAGGACTGTGAGTCTGCCCCTTGTAACCTGGAACTGGGCATAGAACTCTGTTCCTCCTTTACTGTCAAGCTTTTGGATGCCCATGGTCATGCCACTTTCTTGTTCAGTGTCTTAGATCCCCAGTCATGCAGTGGGTTCCAAAGATCTACTTCCAAAAGCACCTAATAGTTAAGTGATTCAAGCTCCCTTCTCCCTACACATTGGCACTAACCCCCCCTCTCCAGGCCCTAGGCCCATCCCTTTTGCTGGCTTGCCTATTAAGACTCTACCAAGCCTAAGAAGGCTTAGGATCCACCTAGACCAAAAGTATTCTCCTGTAGGGCAGTGATATGAGAAGACTCAGGGCAGGAAGCATGCCCAGCCTCCTTACCTGGTAAGTTCCATTGGCAAAGTGCACAGGGATGCTGAAGGGCAAGGAGTGGTGGAAGGGGTTACGCAGCAAGATGGACACAACTTCCATGCGAGATGGCCTGGCTTCCCGCTCCCCAGTCTGCAGAGTGCGCTCCACTGCCCGCTGGCAATAGGTGGCATACTGGCCAGTCTCATTTCTAAAAAGACACAGGAGAAGGAAGAGGAGAATATTAGGTTCTCCACTCATCCTTGCCACACTGGCATCCTCAGTCCCTACCCAGACGTAGCCAGAGTCAAATCTGTGGGCTGGGGCAGGCTGTGAAAAAAGCCCCAAAGACTCTGAGGGCATTAATATGTCATTCAGGGCCTATGTGCTGCAGGTTGCTGGTGCGGATATTTTCTTCCAGAAGCCAGAAGAATACAGCAACAGAGAATGGAAACTTGAGAGCAATATGGCTTTATGTGGGCTCAAACATATCAAAGATCGTTAAGGTGATGCAGGACCAGGCAGTGTTTCATTCTATTATATATAAGGTGCCAAGAATCGGAGCCAATTCAACAGCAACTAACAACAACATGGCTTCACATGAGAGTGCCCAAAAAACATCCACGGATACGAGGATTGGCGTGCCCAGATCCCCACGTACCACCCAGCAAAGGGGGTAGAGGCGATACGAAGCTCTTTCCATTTGGTCTATCATCGTATCCTCCACATCTCTTTAATCATGCCATAGTTAGCAGTGTTAGAATGGTGGAGGAAATGATACTCACTCACCTGGGGTCTGCATGGCGTTGGAGCTGCTGTTTGATGTACCAGAGGAAGTGATGCTGAGGCAGGAAGAGTGGGGCACACAGAGCCAGGAGCTGCCAGCACTGCCAGGGGAAACAGGCATTGGAGGGTGAGGGCTGGGTCTGCAGCGCCCCCTGCCCTCACAGTCCTGTGCTGCAGAGCCTTCAAGCACTCTTTCCCCAAACCAGAGCCCCCAGCCATCTGTGGGTACTGGGGATGGCCAACTAGGTTAGCCTTTTCCAGAATAGCAACCACACAATCTGATTGTGCATAGAAATCCAGCGAGGGCACCTGTACTGGGGCAGCTCTGAGCAGCACGGCTGTCTACTGGCTAGCTCAAAAGCTGGGAAATAAGAAAGGCTCCAAGGATACCTGCCCAGTCACCACCTTCCACCTTCCCCACCTCCAAGGCAGCCCAGCTGTCAGCTGCTCCACCCCTGGAGATACCCACCTGCATAAGGGAGTACTTCTGAGGTGGGCGACAGCTAATCTGCTTCATGAGTTGGCAGTAGACCTCACTCTGCAGCTCAGGGTGAACCAGGCACACCTGCAGTGCCGTCTGGGCCAGGGACACATGGTAGTCTACTGAGGCAGCTTCCACAGGCACGTTGATGAAGAGCTGGCAGGACTGGGAGGGAAAGGACGGTGGGCACAGGAAGACTGAAGGCCCCCTGATTATTGCCCTCTGTGACAGTGGAATGGTGTCTCTGACTCCAAGGGTGGAAGTAAACAGGCTGGGCCATTCCCCCATGGGTCCTGAGAGGCTCCAGTTCACTGACAGACAGCCCCTTCTAGACAGGGAGCATTGTCACTGCTTGTGAGAGGCTGTGCTTGCTCAGAAGGGGTACTTTGGGATACAGTCTTTCGTTAAGATGTTTACATTACATAAGCAAGACAGGTTAATTAAAAAAAGAAAACTCAGACAGGCACAAAGAATATTCTAAAATAGGTTGCTAATCTCTCAGGTCCAGAAACTACATAAATCTGACCTTTCCTTCAGTTAACTACAGGAGGAGGGGAGCTCCTCAAGGGAGAGTTTTCACTGGAGCTTTACAAGGACTTGTGAACAATGTCCCAGGGCTTCCTCCCTCCCAGCAGCTTTCTTCCCCGTGTGAGGATTACATTCCTGCCGTAAAGAAAGCAGTGGACACCCTGTGAGATTGTCTTTCCCTTCCTCTCCAGATCCCTCTGTGGACTACCCGCTAACTGCATGGGCCTCTTTCACCCGAGTATTAACATTGCAGCACAAGCAGCACCAGGCCTGGGCACATGGTGTGGGTGCCACCAGCCAGTGGTCCTGGGCTCCGCTCCCACTTTACCTTGAAGAGCTTGAGGGCCTCCGTCTGCAGGGCCTCTGAGGGCAAGGTGGTGAGGGAGGTGTACAGCCCATCTTTGCTGTAGCACAGCATGGGGTGTCTCCAGAGAGGAGAATCTGCCCAAAGCACAGACCAGACAGCTGCAACAGTTACCACTGATGAGGGAACCCACCGCCCACTCCCACTCCCACTCCCACTTTAATCTGTGGGAAGACAATGATTTAACTGGGACACATAGGTTGTGCTGGGTTTATCATCCATAATGTGTGCTGTGCAGTTGTGGACTGCAATTAGCACACTCACAAGCATGACTACACAGGAAGGTGGCTGTCATTTTACTCACAGAGCTACAATAGGGGTGTGTGTGCAAGGCTGTGGGCATCTGAGTGCAAGACTGTGTGTGGAGGGCAGTCCGCCTCCCTGAAGTTATCAGGTCTGGCTGATGAAGTGTATGTATCAGCCTGAAATTAAGTCTCAGAGCAGCAGAAAAGGGGCATGTGTGCCTTTAGTTAGTTCCTCAGGGCCCTGGGTATCAGTAGCAAAATAAAGACCCCCAAACACCCTAGGCTTAGGTTAACCTCATCCCAGTTTAGGCTTCATCTGTTGATTAACAAACTCTAACTATAGATTAACCAGCTACCTTCTTTGCTCAACCTTCTGCTCAGCCAACAAAGCTGCAGGCTGAATAGAGTAAAACATTTACTCAGGTCACTGGAAAGTCAGCTTCCTAGATAAATCCCCCCAGATACGAAGAATGGTCACTTCAGTATCTTGATCAAAGACAGAGGAGCCCTTGAGGTTGGAATGGGAACTCCTCTCTGTAGTTTAGACATTTTAAAAACAGTGTCAAAGGAGCCCTGGTGGCACAATGGTTAAGCACTCTGTTGTTAACCAAAAGTTCAGCCATTAAAATCCTCCAGCAGATACGCTAGAGAAAAGACCTGGCGATCTGCTCCTATAAAGGTTACAGCCTGGGGAACCCTATATGGCAGCTCTACTCTGTCCTGTAGGGTCACTATGAGTCAGAATCAACTCGACGGCACACAACAACTTCCTATGTTAATTGTAAACTCATTTTCAGCCCATGTTTGATGAGCTGATAGTATTTGAGAAAAATATTGACGGAAAACGAAACAAAAAAACAGCTTCAGGGAACAATAGTGCTTTCTTTGGATTCTCAACCAACGATGACCGAGCCACCACCCTCCAACCCAAGCAGTGATGACCACCCTTGCCTACCTGGATCTCCTTCACCATCCATCAGTTTTCCAATGAGCTGCTCATAGGTAGTGCCCACCTTGGCACTGCTACCACCTGCAGCCACTGTGAGGTGGTAAAGCCACGTGTCCTGGAAGGGAAGGGAAAGCCATCTGATGGAGAAGGGCTGGAAGGAATAGAGGCAATAGCTCCAAAGAGGGTTCCTTGAAAGGGCCAAGCCCATGGTAGGGTTCAGCTGTTTGGTTGGCACAAGTCAAGGCCACTAGTTTCTAAGAAGAAAGACTTGGGATCAGGTGAACATGAACCCAAATTTCCAAGCTTGTGGTCCTATGTTGATCATTGGGAGTGAATTCAATATAAGGGAATATTCCCTTTCAGAGAATACTTGTTGCCAAAGTGTCCAAGAGGGAAATAAATTTGAATTTTGGCAAGTTCAAGTGGAAGAGAGAAGAGAAATTGGAATCATAGGTTCAAGCTTTGCCATGGAGGCCCAGCCCCTCCCTTACCTTTTCACGCTTGGTGCCAATGAGGAGGTAGGTGGGGCTGTGCTCTGGGGGGTGGATCACCAAGGTGCAGTGGGAGGAAAGCAACCGCCCAGTTCCTCCAGCCTCATAGTCCTCGTCTGAGTCACAGGATCGATCTACTTCCTCTATGCGTGCATCCCTCATGGGCAGATGTCCAAGGGGTCGCTGCGGACAGGAGTCTTCCATGAGTGGGAGAGTGGTGGGGGACAAGGGAGGCTCCCCTCTCTGATCCCTCAGGCTCTGTATGGCTGGGAATCATGGAAGTGGACAGGATGACAGGATGGGGAGGGGAAGGCTGCAACATTCCAGCCATGCTGGGAGCAGCATGAGGCTTATTTGGGGCAGCATAGATGGACCATACAAGTAGAATTCACTGGTTGTACACTCAGGTAGGATCCAGCCAGCTGGCTTTTGTACTTGTTGGGGGGTTAGGTGGCGGACAGTGTAAAGCTGGGGACCTCCATCAGGACATGGAGCCACAGTAATGTGGTTTAGAGGAAGTCGGAGAGTAGGTGCTATTAGAAGGCCCCACCATACCCTAGGAAGTACCTTGTCCTCATGGCTCCGATAGTAGTAGAAGGTTTTTCCAACAAGAGCACACCAGACTAGCTTGGAGTGACCATGCTTTACCTGTAAGACCGAAATGAGCTAGCATTGTTAGAACTAGGCAACTCGGGGAATAAACTCTGGGCTAGCAGAGGAAAGCCACAGGGAGAGAGATTTCAAAACCTCCAGTCAAACTCAGGTCCTTAGTGGAGAGGCCCCTTAGACTCCCTACTAATGAGAACCACCCCTTTCACAGTGAGGGTGCTATGCTTCGTGCCATGTGACACCCAGCCATCCTTAGGCTGCTGCTCAGTGACCTATGATCTGCCATTAAAAGATTCATCAGGCCAATTGGATTTCCTCTCCCAAGAACATGGTCTACAAAACACAGATTATATGAGTAGTAAGGAAGCCGTAACGGAGGTAAAGCCCTTGGGCAACCCAAATCATAAGGGAACAGAAACTGCTCCTGGACAGAGGAGAATGATGTACCCACACATTGAACAGAGAAGCAGAGCCAACGAGAGCCCACAAGCACTGCTCTTGCTCTTATAAGCTGCTTTGGTTCCTGATGGCTTTTGTGTCTAGCTAATGTACTTCCTTGTTAACTTCCCTTCTCTGGGGGTATCAAATGCTTCTCTGCACCTTGCAACCAGAAGACTCTTAAATAAAATGTCTTTAGAGCAGGCATCTTAGCACTGGATATACCATGGCATACTATGAGTCTTTGAATGGCTACACCTACCTCACCTAGGTCTTTGCTTCCCACTATTGAGACTTGGTAGGAGAACAAGGCAGGGGTAGGGGCAACCCCTAATGACCTCAAAATGGGTACAAGACATTCTCTTCCTTCCTGTGTCTTCAGTATAGCTGTTGTTCTAATAGCCCTTATCCCCGTTTCCAAGGAATCATTCTTCATCATCTTGTGTGGTCAGACCATGTTTGAGGACCAACTAATAGTCACTGTGAGGAAGTTCCTGGACAAAGGAGCTGTATATGAGGAGGCAACCCACCACCCCTTGGAACTCCCACTCCTGGCTTCCCTGACCCTCAGGAGGCCCATTCCTCTCCACCAGCCCCACCCATACCTTGGTCAGCCAGCCCTTCACAGTGGGCTTGGTGCCACCGTGAGGCAGGGCTGGAGGCCCAATGGCCTGGACTTTCAGCAGGTTTTGCAGTACTCGGATCCACTCCTCCAGCAGGGTGGGTGAATCAGCTGTCAGGTAGTAGGTTTTCTTCTCAGAGATGAGCTGTGGAAGAGTGAGGGATTGGGGTCAAGGGCAGGGAGACAGGAGAAGGAAATAACAGGGAGCTGGCTCTAAGGTGGCCCAAATCTCTGAACCCACTGACCCTTCCTACCAGTTACTCCCCCCCTTCTTTTCCTCCCTTCACTCCATGTCTCACATTCCACCTCCTCTTCTTCCTTTCTAATACAAATTAGGATCACTGCCAAATGTTGATGCAGATTTTTCACCTATGCTCATGTTGCCCCATCTTTGTCTCCATCACAGCCATAACCAAACCAGCACCCCTTCTGTCTAAAATACAAACTGCTGGGAGCATGTTCACCTGGAATGTCTGTGCACCTTCCCCTCGAACAATTTGGCATCGGGAGTTCAGTTCTACTTGACCTTGAGGTTTCCGGATGACATCACTCTGTATAAAGAAAGTGGGGAGGAAAGAGGTTGGAGCTTGGAGACTTCCAAAAGCAGCATCATTTACCCTCACATCTTAATCCAGGTCACAGGCAAAGGAGTGTGTGATTACCAAGTTTTCCTGGGCTAGGTATGATGGGTAACTTGTTCTGGATCCTGGTCCTAACTAAATGGAGCAATGATTAGGGCCTTGGGTCCTTCTGACTCAGGCCTCAAAAAAGGCAGACTGAGGATTGAGGACAGATGACTGAGCTGTAAAGCACTTACATTCTTTGCACTGCATTCCTTATACCAAGAATGGCAAGTAAGTGGCATATATGTCACCATTACCCTTTCCAGTGCCCACTGCAGACACACAGCATGCTTTCTCACTGAGTGATAGAGCCCTAGAATCCTTAACATGGTTTTCCAGGAGCCACTACCAATCAACTGCAGATACATAACAGACAATGCCTTTTTGTCTTCTTTAAAACATTAAAATTGGCTCTCAGGGAGGTCCAGTCGCACTAATTCCCAATATTCAAAGCTCCCTAATTCCAAACAACTCCATTTGGGGAGGAAGGAGGTGGAGGAGGCAATGGGCTCGTCTGCTGGGACAATCTAGATGACATGAGGGCAGCCTGGGACCAGGCATAAGAAGGAACTGGCTTCTGAAGGAAGAAGAAATCACCAAGGCAGGTGGCCTAGGAACTGTGTTTGTCCAAAGCTGTGGCTGGGCTGAGCTGTGTTAATTTCCTCAGTGCCATATTTCATTGACAGAACCAGGGATCTGGCTGGTGTCCCCAGGTGTGGCTCGATGCCTCAGGTACACAGCGGGCTGTTTCTCCCCAAATGACAGACATTTGCCCTTCTGGTCTCAGGCCACCTGCCCCTCCTCCGGGCCCTCTCACACAGTTCTGAGTCTGGGGTGGGGTCCTTTTAACTACAGTCCTTGGCAAGAAGGGTCTCACCGGGGATTTGTAGTACGTAATCTGTCCTTGTCTCAGGACAAACCAGCGCCTCTTCCATGTCTTCACCCGGCTCCCCATTTTTAGCAGGTAGCCCGACTTCTCCAGTGATTCCTGCAGGGGTGGAAAGGTGTAGGGGAGAATAAGGGTGGACAGAAAGCGGAAGTCCCTTGGGGCTCCTGGACGTCACACAGGCCAAAATGGTCCAGTTGAGTCCTTACTTTGTCATCAATTAAAAAACAAAAGTATTGAGCACCTACTGTGTGTATTTCCAGGGCACTGTTCCCTGCTAAGAGCTCAGAAAAAACTAAAGCAAGGGTGCTCCTGCCATGGTAGGGCTCCCGTGCCGGTTGGGGAAGATAACACTTCACTATGAGAAGATGGCAGATTAGGGACTGTAAGAGGCAGAAGCATGCCAGGGAGGGCTTCAGGAAAGGGCCAGACCTGAACTAGCCTTTGAAGGGAAGGTCAGTCTCAGACAAGCCAAGAGGAGGAGAAGGCTATTCCAGGCAGCACAGAAGGGAAAGAGGGCAAGGTAGGCTTGGGGAGATAAAGACAGGGCGGAACAGTGGCGTAGAACAAGAGCTTGGGAATTAGATCAATCTGGCATATAGTAGCACATCTCTGAGGCTCGGACTCTCAGCCTCACGTGTAAAATGGGATAATATTACTCAGCAGGTTGTGAGGACAAAGGAGACAATGTCTGAAAAGCACTGTGCACAGTGCCTGACACACTGTAAAAGCTCAATACAAGGGAGCTCTCGTTAGCATTCTCAGGTGGACGTGAGGATAAAAAGAGGTAATGTGCGAAAACACCTCATGGGGCCTGGTGGGCCACAGTAGCCATTCCTGGTAGGCTCCCTCTCCTTCCTTCCTTATGGGGTCTGTGTGTGCCTGACTCCATAACTGCACAACCCCAGCCCACTCCCAATGCCCTCACATCGGTGACAGCTCCATGGCCCCCTCCCTTCCCCTCTCCTACCCTTCACCGTGGGCCTCACATAGCTGCTGCCTGTATCTAGTGCTGAGGACAGAAAGTGCCCTCTCCCTGTGGCCCCAGGTAGCCTCTGCTGGAGATCCGCTCCCACCTCCGTGCTCCCAGCTCACCCCGCCTAGGCCCAGCCCATCGGTGGAGTAGGATGAGGTGCGCTGTAGTTTGTGCTCAGGCTCTGAGTAGTCACTGTCCAGCGAGCAGGCATCCGGGGGGATGGCATAGTCACCCTCAGAGCTCAGTGAGGACATGGAGACACCTGGTTGTGAGAGGAGAAATCAAGACCCGGGGTTCCACATCTCCCCACCTGGTACAGCCCAGGAGCTACAGAGCCTCAGTGTAGGGCTGAGGGTGGAACGCTGGGGGTCTGGGCACAGAGCAAGCAGGAACTCCAGTGTACAACTGCCTGTGGAGGAGGTGAGGTACCCTTTGTTGCCCTACACCCCTCCTGCTCCCTTCTTGTACCTCTCTTGATGGCCCGGGGGCTGCCCAGTCCGCTGGTCTTCCTGGACTCAGAGCAGGAGACCGAAGTTCGGAAACTGGCCTGAGAGCTGCAATCATCGTCGGACCCAGAGGACTCATCCACAAAGGGCATGCTGCTGATCTGCATGGCTCTCTGCAAAACAGACCCCCTTCCCCACTGCAGATGGGCTGCAAAACAAGCCCCATTCCACCCTGCAGGTGTGCTCTAGCCCCAGGCTCCGAAGGTGTGGCCATCACAGCCTGTCTAGGGCAACATCGATGCCCTGACCCAGCCAGACACAGGCAGACATCTGCTCCAGAGGGCTCTGGAAGGCCCTTCCTGCCTGACTCCTGTGTCCTTACCTCCATGCCTCTCTTTGGGCCTTCCTCCCCCACCCACCATCTTCTGTGGTCCCCAAAGGAGCTGCCCCATCCAGGCTGCTGTGACTCTTGCTCCCTGCCACTAGAGGGCCAGAAAGCCACACCACAGGCCAACAGTGGGGCAGGAGCTTTTAAAATATGTGTAGACACTGAGACAATGAGAGATCATTTTGATCGGAAGACTGATGATCCTCAATGCTGACGAGTATGAGGAAAAGATACTCTGTAGTGTGATAAAAGCTTTTTAGAAGATAATTTGGCAGAATCTACCAAAATTTAAAACATGTGAGAATGGTTGCAAAACTTGAAGAATGTAACCAATTTCACTGAATTGTAAATGTAGACATTGTTGAAATGGTGTATGTTCTGCTGTGTATATTCTCAACAACAACAAAAAATAAAATATTAAACAAAAGACGTGCATGTAATTTGTCCAGAAATTCCACCTCTAGCACTATCCCTTATGGAAATATATATAAGCAGATATTTATATATTAAATATATTTAATATTAACATCAGTATTATATACACATAATATAATGAGATATACTTATACAATGATATTCATCACAACATTTATTTTAGAGAAAAACAGGGACATGACCTGAATGCCAATCAGTGGAGCAAAGGTTAAGGCCATTACAGGGCATCTCTACCAAGAAGTACTGGACAGCAATATGAAGAAGAGGTAGAGCGGTGTGTGGAGGTACAGAAGGATGACCTGACAGATCGCTGAGTGAATGATCAAGGTGTAGAATGTGTACAATATGATCCCTTTTGTGTACTGTGTCCATACATGAGGGAGAGACAGACAGGGAAAGACAGAGAGAGAGAGAGAAGGAATTTGTATCTGTAAATGCATCAGAGAGTTTTGCAAAATAAACATCAAACCATTAATGATAACTGCCTCTGGAGACAGGAATTAGGGGAAAGCAATGTGAAAGGAATTTGCACTTTTGGCTTTTTAATCTTCTATGAAAAGTTTTACCAAGTATTATAGCTGTAATTTCAAAATCTAATAACAAAGAGAAAAAATGTGTATGAAAACATCATGTTGCAACACACTATTATATCTGATTTTTGTTTAAAAAAAGTAGAGATGTGTATATAGGTTTATGTTTGAACACCCTTCTGGAAGGAGTCCCACTGCTGTCTGGAACTGGGCAGTGGAACAGACAGAAAAGGTGGGAATGGGGGTGGTGGAGCAGGAATAGGTTTAACCTTTAACTTTTCACTTGTCCACATTCATATTGATTCAAATTTTTATAAACATATAATTTTTATAATAAGAATCTAATAAAGATGAACAATAAAGTGAAATACATGTGGACTTAGCTCCTAGACCAGGGTCATGTGTGTGCAGAAGCCTGACTCGAGAGTCCCACCCCCCCAGCCACTGTATGCCATGATGAAGGGCCTCTCCCAGTGGGGCACCCCTCTTTGGACTGCAGCTCCTTACCCCCTTCAGGGTTGTGAAGACAGGCACGGTGACATTCTTGTAGACAAAGCCAGAGAAAGGCCCAGGGGATGCAAGGGCAGGAGGGCCTGAAGCTAGAGGGGAGGAAAGTGGGACAAGATGAACTTAGATGGCATAACCCAGTCAGTAATGGAGGCAGAGAACTGGGCAAGGCAAGGAGGTAAGTGCAGACAGCATCTCCTGAAAGAGCACTCAGGGTATGACAGGGCTCAGGATGGGGGCCAAGGCCTTCTTTAGCTTCTCTCCTGCCTTTCTGCTCCCCCTGAATGCCTTTGGGGGACCATGATCGCAGTGCATTAATGGACCCGTTACAACAGAATCCAAAAGCCTTGCCTTGCAACCATTCTATCCTCCATGAGCCTTGCACTCGGTCCCACTTTTGCTGGGGTGAGTTGCAAATTATGCAAGTATGGGGATTCTGTGGCTGGCCAGTGGGGCGGGATGGAAGCGGCTCCTTCAGGGTTGCTCCCCCCATCCATAGCCCTTGCGCTGAAGAAGGGAGCCTGTGCAGGTGGGGGGCTGGGCTGGAGGACTGCCTCTAAGGTGACTTCCAGCCCTGTGATTGGCTACCACCCTTCACACTTCCACTTGGCAGGTAATGAGCTGAACCTGCACAACTTCCTTTTCCCTCCAAGAAGCCCTTGCTGTATTTCACTTTAACTTCACTGCTGGGTGAGGGAAGCAGGTACCAGATGGCCCTGGCCCTGGGTGTTGCTCAGAGTCTTCTCCTCCCCCCACCCACCATGGGCATCTGCTCCCTTTGAGCCTCACTTGGACTCACCACAGCTGGTAGTGTTACTTCTGGGAGCCGCGTCCGAGAGCTGCATGCCCGAAGAGGCCACAGCGTAGATCCGGCTCTCCTGGAATAAGAGGTCCCTTGGAGTCAGGGATTCCATCAGGGCCCAGAACTGCCCACTCACACCCTCCTGGGGTGTGGAGAAAAAAGCATGGAGCCGGCAGACTTGGGTCCACATGCAAGCTCGGCCAGTTACTAGCTGAGGAATCTTGGGCAAGTTATGTCACTTAAGAGCCTCGTTTTCCTTAGCTCTAGAGTGGGGATAATTATAATGCTTACCTTTAAAAGGTGTTGTGAGAATCAAATTATTGATGTAAATACTTAACACCTTGAATATAATCAGTGCCCCACAGATATTCATTCCCTTCCCTTTGGGACAAAGTGCTTCTGCAATCCTGGCAGGGAGGGGAAAGTCAATAGCCTGATTCTCTGAATCTCACCCACTTAGAGACCCTTGGACCTCAGGATCTCACCCCTAGAAGTCAGGGGTGTTGAAAAGGAGGAAGTCAGAGCTACATGGTGAGGATATGCTCATTGTAAGCCAGTTGTTTGGGAAGGACACATTTTTTTCCTACCATAATAATGTTATATCATGGTTAGACTTCAGGGCCAACCTACAAAGCCAGCCTGAAGTTTCATTCTGGCTCAAACGGACTTCAGAACCTCAAAGTAGACCCTTCTAAGGGAGCATGCCCATTCTCAACTCTCCTTTAACCCCCTAAGGTGGCCCTGGGTCTGACGCAGGTCCACAGACCCAGGGAGCTTCTCCTAATGGTTTTGGATTGCACTCAAATAACCTACTAGGCCCCACCTATACATTTCCATATCTCTTTCTCCACTGATGGTAAAGGGAAAACAAAGGCCCACTCAGCTGACTGCAGTGAGTCACAAGGGCTGGCTGGGAGAAGGAATGCCAGGCTGGCTCCAGGAGGTGGCTGAGCATCTTGGTACGGGGTCGGGCCAGCCTGGCTTAGGGGGAAGTGGTAGGCATATTGGGGTGTTGTCCCAGAGGAAAGTAGCTGTGAGAGGAAGCTGGGGGAGGGGCTGGTGAGTACAGGGATGAGATCCCGAGATAAAGGAAGGGTGGGGAGATAAGGGATGGAGGGCAGGAGGAAGGGAATCCAAGGAGGGGCACTGCAGAAGGGGAGGAAAATTCCTGTGGCCATCAAGCTACCTTTATGTAAGGCAGACAGATTGGGTCCAAGTAGTAAGATTAGGCATAAAAAAGATTATTCCTGCCAGGAATGGTCACGGAATTCAACCAAGGACAGGCCTCTAACTTCACAGAGGAAATGAAACTGAAGCCTGAGGGATTTAGGTTCAAGGAAATGTAGAACTGTTTTACCAAAAAAGGTTATCTAATGCTTAAGTCACAAGGTTGCGTTGAGGATTAGTGGATATAGGGCTCTGCAAAAGGCAAATTGGCAAAATAACTATATCTGACTCTCTCAGATTGAGAAACGTCCTTCTCTGAATTCTCGGTCTTCTTGTTTCCCCCAGATGGTTCATATCCACTTGGTCCTGCCTGAGAGAAGGACTCTCTGGCCACTGTGATTTCCTAATCTCGCCCTCCAATACAGTGACCCAGCCCAGGGACCTCAGATGGAGCTGGCACTGTACCTTGTTTTTCTTGGGAGCAAGTTAGAAAGAGGATTGCAAACGTGAGACAAATTCTCCTTAAAGTGGTTTATCTGATTCCTGGGTCCCCAAAGCCCAGCTGACAGAGCACCAAGGGTCTGGGAGAAGACCTGAAGCCTCTCAACACCTCACTCCCCAAAGATGAGATGTTTTTGTGCGAAAAATGTCATCCAAGGCATTTTGTATATTTATTCTTATTCATTCTCACACACATACACAAACCCATACGTACACACACACATATACGTACAGACAGAACACAAGAAGCACTATTAGCCATCATGGTACTACAACCAGTTGCCATCAGCTCTGACTCATGGGGACCCCATATGTGTCAGAGTAGATCTGTGCTCCATACGGTTTTCAATGGCTGATTTTTGGGAAGATCGCCAGGCTTTTCTTCCAAGATGCCTCTGGGTAGACTTGAACCTCCAACTTTTCAGTTAGCAGCTGAACGTGTTAACTGTTTTCACCACCCAGGGACTCTTTGTAAAAAGGGGTGGCGGGGGGGGGGTAGGTAGCACCTAACTCCTCATCTAAGTACTGAGTCCTTCCCACGCACCAGACTGTGCTAAACACTCGACACCCGTTATCTCATCTCATCCTCACCACTGATCTGTGAGATGCTATTACTCCCCCAATTTTTATTTTAACTTTTTACCATGGAAAATGTCAGCCACAAAAGTCAGGAGAACATTATAGAGAACCACCTCATGTACCCATCACCCAGCTTCTACAAAGATTCATTCATGAACAATCTTGTTTCACCTGTATTCCCACCCCCATCCCTGAGATTCTGAACTAGTTCCACCAGACATTACATCACTTTATCTAGTATTACAAGTAAGGGGACTAAGGCTCAGAAATAATGAAAAATACCCAACACTAACATACCACTTACTGCAAACCAGGCACTATTCTAAGTGCTTTATTAAATATTAACACATTTAATTCTCACAACAACCCTACAAAGTAGATGCAATTATCCCCTTTCTGCAGATAGGGAAACTGAGGCACAGAGGTTAAGTAACTTGCCCAGAATCACACAGTTAGCAATTCAACCCTAGTTGTTTGGTTCCGGAACCTGTGCTCTTAACGACCATGCTGTGTCACCGCAACGAGTCATGAGAAAATGTACGGAAAGCACCCAGCTTGGTGTGTGGCACACAGTGAGTGCCTGTAGTCCAGGCAGGCTCTGTGGGACCAGCCTCCCAGAGCTATGTGAGAATGGCAGCCTCGTCACAAGCTCAGCACATGGACATGCTCGATGAACAATGTCCGTGTTGCTAGCTCTGCCCAGCCCAGAGGGCATCTCTTACCCAGGATGGAAACCGGTGCAGAGGCGGTGTGGGTGGTTTGTTCCCTAGCTCCACCTCCCCCAGGTCAGCTCCTGGGATCTTCCGGTTCTTTCGTCCCTCCTTCTTCCCTTCTGGGGGTGGCTCCTCCATCTCCATCTTCTCTGGTTGCTCCCAGAGCTCAGCTCCAGTCTTCACCTCAAGGAGGCGGTGGGGGTGGATGGCCGAGAGGCCCCCAATCTCAATGCTCACCACATGGTCAAAGTGTCCAGGGCCTACCTGGGGCTGGCTGTGGTGCCGCTTGGCCAAATGGATGCTGTCCCGGGGGGTGCCAGGAGCCCGTGCCTTTGGAAGGGTCAGGCTGTTGCCAGGGCCTCCTTCCCTAGTGGAGATCTTTGTCCCAGGGAGTATCCCTCCCTGAGCACGGACTGGGCCCTCACCCCAGGAAGTGGAACCACATTTGGGGGTGCAAGCATTCATGCACAGCTGGCTGGGAGAGCCCTCTCTTCCCAGATGAGCCTGAGGAATCTTAGCCTCTGTTCTTTCCCCAGAGTGGACCAGGCTGGAACCAGAGTCATCCAAGGGGCTTCCAGCTTCAGGAACACAGTCCTTGTTCTGTAGGGCACCTGGAGAAGGTGCAGGCACAGCCACCTTCAGGGAACCCTCAGCCTGGGGACCACTGTCCTGCCTCATCGGCTGGGTTCCAGACCCTGAAGTGACAGTATCCTGTTCTGGGGTTTCCTGAGGGGCCACCAGCAACTTCCCCGAAGGTGCCATCTGAACAGCTATGGTTGGGGCAAAAAGCAGACATATGAGAAAGTCAAGGGCATTTGAGGGGTCCCTCAATTCAGCCACACCCTCCATCATACACATCTGCACACTCCCAAAAGCACACACACAGACATGCACACCCCAAAATAAAAACACACACACACATGCCTGCCTACCTTCCAGTGCATCTTGAAGGGCCCCCACCTGCTCCACTAGGTGCTGATTACAGCTTTTCAGGTGCTGATTCTCCATCTCAAGCTGGGCAAAAAAGTAAAATGAAGATTTAGGACACCCAGCCTACCGGTTCAGACATAGAATTCAAAGTAAGATTAAAAGCCCAAGTCTCTGAAAAAGAACAGCTGGTGCCCCACCAATCCAGTGCCAACCCTCCCAGAGAGCCCTGACCTCCTCTCTCCCTCTGTGTTAACTGGTTTTGGTTGGGACAGAATTCCATTTGGCAGCCCTTGACCTTTCTTTACTAGTTATTTTTAACCTTTTTCATTGTGAAATATAACACATACCCAGAAAAATGCATACCACATCAATGCATAGCTTCTTAAAAGATTCTGAAATTGGTATCTATGTGACCACTATGCAGGTTAATAAATACGAATTTGCCATCACCCAAGAAATTCTCCTCCCACCTTACTGTTGTTGCTAGTTGCCGTTGAGTTGGCTACAACTCATGGTGACCTTATGTGTAACAAAACAAAATGCTGTCCGGTCCTGTGCCATCTTCACGATCATTGGTATGTTTGAGTCCACTGTTGTAGCTATTGTGTCAATTTGTCTCATTGAGGGTTTCCCTTGTTTTCACTAACCCTCTACTTTACCAAACATGGTGCCCTTTTCTAGCTATTGGTCTCTCCTAATGACGTGTCCAAAGTAAGTAAGCCAAAGTCTCGCCATCCTCGCTTCTAAGGAACATTCTTGTTATATTTTTTCTAAGACTGATTTGTTTGTTCTTGCGGTCCATGGTATATTCAATACTCTTTGCCAATACCATAATTCGACCATATCAATTCTTCTGTCTTCCTTTTTCACTGACCAGCTTTCACATGCATATGAGGTAATTGAAAAGACCATGGCTTGGGTCAGGTGCACTTTAGTCATCAAAGTGACATCTTTGCTTTTTAAAACTTTAAAGATGTCTTTTGTGGCAGATCAGCCTGATGCCAATATGCCATTTGATTTCTTGATTGCTGACCCAAGTAGAATGAAATCGTTCACAACTTCCATTTCTTCGTTTATCATGATGTTGTTTATCAGTCTAGTTGTGAGGATTTTCATTTTCTTCATGTTCAGGTGTACCCCCCTACTTCCCCTTTCCCAATCACACATTCCTCCCTCCTCCCTAAACAACTCTTCTAAGTTAATGATACTTGTTTCCTCGCCTCCGTGTTTTACCATCTAAGTATGCACTCTTATACACACTGGTTTAGTTGTACCTGATTTTGAACTTGAACTTTATACAAATGGAATTATACAGTATGTACTTCCCTGTGTCTGGCTTCTTCTGCTCAATATAACATCTGTGAGATTCATCCTTGTTGCTGCACTACCTTTTAAATTAAATCCAACATACTTTTATTGAGCACCTTCGAATATGGGTTAAAGCTGTGGTAAGGGCTCTGCTCCAAAGAACTAGCAGTCTAGTAGGGGACTTGATATGTGTGTCCAAAGACAGGAACGTGAGGCAAAAAGTACCAAACACCCCCCAGCAGGTGTGAACTACCTGTCTCAGGAGGACAGAGGTAGAAGAGATGAGTGGTCTTCCTTTTCTAAGCTTCAATTCTCTTTCCTTTTATTTTAAACTGAGGTTGGTTAGGATTTTGTTTTGTTTGCTTGCCAAGTATATCATTATAGCTCCCAGTCCAGAGTTTGCTAAATAAAGCTATAGCAAGTGACCAACTACGAAAGTGAATGGGGAAGACAGAGGAGAAAATGGAGATAAGAAATGTTAAGGACTGTGTGTGGTCCTTAGAAGGAAACGATGGGGACTTTTCAGAAGTGAGACTCATTTCTTCTCCCCAAACTTAAACGCAACACAAAACTAACCAGGAGCTCTAGAGAAACTCAACCAAGACAAAAGGAAGGGAAAATCCCAGCATTTGAGCTGAATGAAGGACAGATTAACAAAATGAACGTCAGTCAAGGCACCATCGACAGACAGGCAGAAAAACCCTAGAGATAGCAGTGACCTCAGGCACGGCCCCACTCAGGATCCCCAAGGTGACTTTTTGACTCACCTCTGCTAACTTTAGTGTCACCCATTCCTTGATCTTCACAGCCTTTTCTTGAACAATTTTTGCTTCCTCAGCTCTCATCTGCTTCTGCAAGAAAGAGAGGGCCTTTAGTTAATTATAGCAGTCACTGGAATAGTGAATATGGAGGTGGAAAGCACAGTGGAAACACCAGGTGACTGGATGGGCGTGGTCCATTAGAAAAGCCATAAAGGATAAAGCTTGAAAACATTATGCTGAGTAAAAGAAACCAAAACCAATCCAGTTGCCGTTGAGTTGATTCCGACTCATAGTGACCCTATAGGACAGAGTAGAACTGCCCCATAGGGTTTCCAAGGAGTGGCTGGTGGATTCAAACTGCTGACCTTTTGGGTAGCAGCCGAGCTCTTAACCACTGTGCTACCAGGCCTCCAAGTGAAAGAAGCCAGACACCAAAGGCCACATATTATAAAATTCCATTTATATGAAATATCCAGAATAGGCAAATCCATAGCGACAGGGACTGGAAGGTGAAGGGAAAGGAGAGTGGCTGCTTAATGGGTACAGAGTTTTCTTTTGGAGTGAGGAAAATGTTTTGAAACTATATAGAGGTGGTGATTGTACAACACTGTGAATGTACTGAATTGTTCATTTTAAAATGATTAATTTTATGCTATGTGGATTTCACCTCAATTGAAAGAAAAAAGCTATAAAGAAAAAGACTAATAAACCTAAATCATAACTATAAATGACCGTGTGATCGAAAAAAAAAAACACAAAAGGAAAGAAAGAATCCCTTAAAAACACCAATCGGAAAAAAAATCTGCAACGCAAACAACATAGAAGAGTTGATTTGAGATGAACTATCCAATAAATATATGCAAAGGATATAAACAGGAAATCAACAGAAAAAAAAATAAAGGCAAAGAAACCCATGAAAAGCTGTCCAACCTCAATCATAATTTGAAGAATGCAGATAAAAGCAAGACATCATTTTCCTCTATCAGACTAACACAATTTAAAAGTTTGATATTACTCAAAATTATCAAGAATGTTGGGAAGCAATCCTTCTTATACAAACTGGCAATGACTTTTTGGGGGGTGGAGTCCCTGGGTGGTGTAAATGGTTAACATACTTGGCTGCTAACCAAAAGACTGGAGGTTTGAGTCTACCCAGAGGTGCCTCCAGAGAAAGGCCTGGTGATCTATTTCTGAAAGATCAGTATTTGAAAGTCCTGTGTAATACAGTTCTACTCTTGATGCACATGGGGTCACCATGAGTGGGAACTGACTTGATGGCAAATGGTTTTTTGGGGGCAATTTGATAGTATCTGTCAACATTTTAAATGTGCATACCATTGACCTAACAAACCCACTGCTTAGGAATTGTTTGTTGCAATATTATTTGATAAAGCAAAACAAAACAAAAACTAAAAACTGTAAATAACCTCAGTGATCACCAATAAGGGTTTGATTCAATAAACATCGTACATCTACATAACAGAATCCTGTTTTAATACACAAAAAAATGTTTACAATGAACAGTGGCTAACAGTGAAGAGTGGAAATGAAGGGTTGGGGACAGAGGAAAAATTTTACTTGTCATTTTAAAACCTTCTGGTCTTTCTGTATTTTTTATTATAAGCGTGTGTGATGGTTAAGGTTGTGTGTCAACTTGGTTGGGCCATGATTCTCAGTGATCTGGCAGTCGTATGATGTTTTGATCACTTCCATGATGAGATTTGATATAATGTGATCACCTCCACTGCTGTGTGTAGACAATTAGTTGAAAGGGAGTTTTCTTGGGTGTGAGGCCTGCATCAAATATAAATGGACATTCTGGCAAGGCTCGTGGGCTTCTGCTCCGTCTGGAACTTGCAGCTGGCTCCTGTTTATCTGACCTCCAGTTCTTGAGGCTTGAGCTAGCAGCTTACCTTTGGTCTTCCCTGCCGATCTTGGGATTTGTCCATCTTCACAGCCTGTGGGCAAGAGCCCTTCTCTCTGACCTGCCAATTTCGGGTTCGCCAGCCCCTGTGGCTATATGAATCAGGAGAAGCCTCTATCCTGACCACGGAGTTGGGGACATTCCAGCTTTATTGGTTTTGCTTCTCTAGAGAACCCAGCCTGAGATAGCATGTATTACTTTTTAAAGTTAAAAAACAAAATATAAAGCTAACTTTGTACACTAAGTGAGATATTTCCCCCAAATAATCAGAAGACTATAAGATGATTGAAAAGGAGAGTTATATATCTAAAGAACAGCAGCCTAGAATAGAGGGGAAGTATGGGCTTTGGGGAGCTAATGTGCTTGGCTGCTAACCAAAAGGTTGGATGCTTGAGTCCACCCAGAGGCACCATGGAAGAAAGGCCTGGCAATGTACTGAAAAATCAGTCATTGAAAATCCTACGGAGTACAGTTCTACTCTGACACACATGGGTTTACCACAAGTTGGAATCTACTCTACAGCAACTGGGATGGACTTTGGAGCTTTGACCCTACCTTTGAGGCTTAGTTGCTGTGGGGCATTAGGCAAGAAACCTAACTCCTCTGGTCCTGCACCGTTATGTCTACAACAGAGAATGGCACATCTCCTTTGCAGGGCTGTTTTGGAGGATAAAAGTAAGAGAAAGTACATGGCACAGTGCCTGATACGTAAGTAATCAACCAGCTCTCCAGTGAGTACTAGTGTGCTGATCTTAAAGGCCCAGAGACAAGGGACACATACTGAGTAGTTTAGAGAACAATAACAACAACTTTGGTTACACTGATAGGGAAAACTTGTTTGATAATTGCATAATGTCAGACCTATGCTCAAACAAGGGAGTCTGTGGAGATGAGATGGAAATATGCAAATGTCAGATTCTCAGTATTTCAGAGTTGGAAGGACCTTAAAGGTTATTTTGTTCAGCAGTTGGCAAGTTATTGCCCATGGGCCAAATCTAGCCATTGCCTGTTTTTGTTTTCTATTTTTGTAAATAAAGTTGTACTGTAAGAGAGCCATGCCCACTCATTTATGTATCATCTATGTCTCCTTTGCACTACAGGGGCAGAGTTGAGTAGTTGTTTCAGAGACCATGTGGCCCATTGGAAGTGATGGAGATCTGGCACCAAGGGAAAGTTAGGTAGGCAATGCCAAGCCATATATATTCACTATCTGGCCCTTTACGGAAACGGTGTGTGGATCCTTGACCTAGTTTGATACCCTCTTTATATGGTGATACGGCAGCAGAAACTGAGGCCCAGAGGGGTGAAACGACTTGCCTCTGGAAGTTAGCAGCAAAGCTGGGACTAAAACCAGGTCTCTTGACTTGTAGAAGAGCGTTCTTTCTATTCTGATCTTCACCTATTTATTATTATTGTAAAATGACTTTGTCTGACCTAAGAAGCTTCAGCAGGAGTCATTTTGCGCACCAATTCCCAGGATACTGTGCCACTTCTAACTATGAACCACCCAAAAGAGAAAATAAGGTATCTCTAAAAATCAATGGGAAATTGACGAGGGATTCCATGTATCAAAACTATTTTCCTACCATTTTTCAGGAGCACACAGTGCCCCTTATAGCATATAAAGGCACAGCCCACAAAGGAAATGTTCAGTCAATGCTGATGAGTGATTAAAAATTTGCCTGGGATGGTAGGAAGGTACTACCAGGATTATCCAGGACCAGCTCTTTACAGAGAATGCACATGTGGGAAATGAAAAGTTGTCTGACTGTACTGTGGGGTGTTTTATTGGAAGTGACGGAGCTCTAGCACCAGGGGAAAGTTAGGTAGGCAAGGCCAGTGGCAGAGGGATCAGACAGAAATGGGATGGTGTTATGAATTGAACGGTGTTCCCCCAAAATATGTGTTGTAAATCCTAACCGCTATACCTGTGGTTATAATCCCATTTAGGAATGGGTTTTGTTATGTTAATGAAACCATGTTAGTGTAGGGTGTGTCTTAAGTCAATCTCTTTGAGATATAAAAGAGATTAAACAAGCAAGTAAGCAAGCAGAGATGGGGGAAGATAGATGCCATACCACATGAAGATCACCAAGGAACCAAGGAACAGAAGCTGAAGAGACAAAGACCTTGTCCTAGAGTTGACAGAGAGAGAAAGCCTTCCCCTGAGCTGGCGCCCTGAATTCGGACTTCCAGCCTCCTAAACAGTGAGCAAATAAATTTCTGTACTTTCATGCCACCAATTTATGTTATTATGTTATAGCACTACTAAATAACTAAGACAGATGGAGGTGATGAGATTGTGGAGGGGAGGAGGCTGGGCCTAGGAAACTGGCAGGAGGATGTTCCAGATGCCCGAGTGTGTCCCTCTCCGGATCAAGGGGCAAAGGTACTAACGGTGGCTGAAAATGCTGAGCAGTGGCCTCTCCTGGGCCCCCATGTCATCAGGAGTGGAGGCCCTACTTTTCAGACGAGGTGGCAACTTTGGTCTCTGCCTACTCCAGTTCACTGAGAAACTCTGGCCAACCAGCTGACCAGGGCTGACTGTCCAGCTCTGTGCTGCTCTGATCATACTACAGATGACCTGAGTGAATTCTCATGACAGCTCTAAATGAAAAGAAAAACGAAAAAAACAAACGTGTTGCCGTCAAGTGAATTCCAACTCATGGCAACCCCATGTGTTACAGAATAGAAATGCTCCATAGGGTTTTCAATGGCTGTGACCTTTCAGAAGTAGATCACCAGGCCTGTCTTCTGAGGAGCTTCTGGGTGGACTGTACTTGAACCACCCACCTTTCAGTTAGCAGCTGAGTGCTTAACCGTTTGTGGGACCCCGGCAGCCTACAAGGTATTATAACCCCTATTTTATAGGTGTGTAAAATGAATCAGTGACTCCAGTAACTTGCCCACAGTCACAGAGTAACAAGTGCTAGAGGTGGGATTCAAACGTACATCAGTCGGATTCCAAAATCCTTTTTCCACTATATCCCATGCCTAGCTCCTAATGAACAGATATGAGAAAGATCTTCTAATAATTAAATCTACACCTAAAAGAACAGTCTCATGAGCAAGTGAGGTTCTGTCACTGAAGGGCTCATACAGAGGGAGCAAGAAGCTGGGAGGCCAACAGGTGCAGCTGTTGGAGAGGGGCTGGCACTCTGCTGCATGTTAGCCCTTACCTGCTTCTCCAGCTGGGCCTCCAGCTGGCTGATGAGCTCATCTTTGCCCTGCATGGCTTTCAGCAATTCTTGGTACTTCTGGGGCAGGCTACCTGCTGGGTCCATATTCTTCAGATTGGACAGTTTTATCTTCTCTTCCATCACACCCACCTGAAAAGTACCAATTGTCATAGGGTTGGGGATGTGTTGTGTGAACTGGCTAATAAGATAGGACAGTTGCCTCCTGACATCCCAGCCTGACTCCCAGGCAGAGTCCTTACCCAGGGCAGTCAGAGTCAATTAATTAAATGACCATTTATTAAGCTCTTATTTGGATAACAGAAGGAACTGACAAGGAAGAAGTTCATTTTGGCTACTCTAAAAAAAACAGTTGGGTCTCAGGCCATTTAACTTTGGGGCCCCCAGTAGGAATTAGTTGAGCAGGACATATAGCCTCGGAGAACAGCTGTTCCGACCTCAGAGTGGCAGAGATTTACTGTTTCCTGAAGGTACACATGCTTCTTCATATTTCTCAATCCTCTTGTAGTTAGGCAGGACCATGTAATTCACTTCCGCCAATGGGCTCTAAGTGGAAATGACACATCACATCCGGGCTGAAGAATTTAAGAGCCGGTACACAAATGCCCAGCTCTCTTTCCTTGCCATGGCAAACAAGAAAGCTGAGTGTTCCAAATGGTCCAGCTATATGACAGGAGAGCCTCCATTAGCCTGGATCCCTGAATGACTGTGTGGACAAGAGTCCCTGGCTAGCCCTCAATGGATATCTACCAAGGGTGATAACTAAATGTGATAAACCACTGAGATTTCAGAATTAATGTGTTACCTCAGCATAGCATAGCCTATTCTGACGAATACACTCATCCACTTCCTGTACCAATCCTTACGCAAAGACTCCTTCATTCCCATAGAAAGCTCCATGCATCTTAATTTTTCAGAAGGTATGATAACACGTGACTGCTGGTTTTCCTTGTCCTGTAAGGAGCTCATCAGTGTCCAAGTATGTCCATGGAAAGGGCCAGGAAAGGCCAACGGTCATTTGCCCTGCATACTCCTACCAATCCTCACCCCCAATTACCTGGGTCTCCGCATTCTCTGCTCTCTGCTCCGCCTCCAACAGCCTCTGCTCCAGCTCTTGCATCTGTTCAACCAGAGAGAAGGGGAGATATAGCCTGGTTTTCTTACTATGAACAAGGCAGTGGGGCAACTAGAGGGAATTTTGCTGATACTGCACACAGGCCAGGCTTAAACTGCCCATTTTAAGCGGCTCAAGCAGGCCAGGTACCAAGGTGAAGATTTTCACAGCAACTCTCAGCCCCCCAGCTGTTATGGATTGAATTGTGTCCCCTCCCTCCCAAAATATGTGTTGGAATCCTAACCCATATACTCATGGATGTAATGTAATGACCTTATATTTAATGTAATCATCTTCCATAATACAATCTAATATAATCAATCAATCAGTTGAGGGTATACCCATATAGGGTAGATCCTAAACTGATTTATATAAAGAGCAGCAGAGACAAGAGACACAAATGCACACACATAGGGAAAGCCAAATACCACGTGAGGATCACCAAGGAACCAAGGAATGCCCAGGGCTACCAACAAGAAAGGAACTGACATGGCCAAGACCTTGATTTGGACTTTTAGCCTCCAGAACTCTGAGGAAAAAAAATCTGTTCTTTAAAGCCATCCACTTGTGGTACTTCTGTTATAGAAGCACTAGGAAGCTAAGACACTGACCCTGAATTTATAAGGCACATGAAAAGCGCATGGCTGCTGCCTCTCTGCTGAGGGATGAAAAGCCTAGTTTTTTTCCCCCTTTTGTAGGGATCTGATAAGGGGCAGCCGTACCATCATCATTCTTCCTGAGGTATTCCTGCCCCCAATCCTGCCTTCTGTCCCCTATCCCTAAAGCCTCTCTCCTCTTAGTTCTGGGTCCCAGGCATACCATGCCACAGCTCCCTCATGTCCCCGGCATGGAACATGCTCCAATATGAGCCCATATTTGTCAATGGTAAACAATGTTCCTTCCTACCCTGGAAAATCTCATTGGCTGGAAGCAAAAACCTCTTCACACAGGGTTAAGGACCCTCTGCATGGAAATGGCATTCATTGGTATCACCTTGATTTTTTTAAATTTAAAGAAATAGAGGGAAAGACAAAGTTTTTATAAATTATATCTTGCTGGCAGTAGAGGCATATTATTCAGGTCCAAGAAGCTCAGCAATCCTAGAACTTTCTACCAGACGGTCCAAGCAAAGGGAACAAAGTTTCTGTCTAAGGAACTTCATCAGGGACCAAATCTAGGCTGAAGCCTAAGGAGCTGCTCATGAGCCCACGGTCTAGGCGGCATCTTTGCAACTATGCAAGTTCACAGCATGGCAGGCGGAGGCTGGGTGGGATTTCAGCTCCCATTCTCCCCCGGGCCAGCTACTGCTGCCCATATCACACATCATCACACGGAGGCCCAGAAGAAGCAAAGTAGATTCATACATCAAACTCATATCAAACTCCATGTGCCACAGCCCAGTCAGAGTCAGCTGCTTCCTTTCCCACCCTGCCCTGACCCAGGGCAACATTTGTGCATTACAAATATACTACCACCACCAGTTTACGTGGAGCCAACTCCAACGCATGGTGACCCCATGTGTGTCAGAGTAGAAGTGTGCTCCATACGGTTTTCAAAGGCTGATTTTTTGGAAGTAGATTGCCAGGGCTTTCTTCCAAGGAACCCCTGGATGGACTTGGAACTTCCAAGCTTCTGGTTAGCAGCCAAGCATGTTAACCCTTTGTACCACCCAAGGACTCCTACAAATATACTAGAGGCATAATATCCCAGCCTGGGTTCTCTGTGAGGCTGGACAGGTTTAGGGCTCCCTCAGGCCTTGTCTTCTGAGCTCCAGCCCAACCTCACCCAACTCATCTCTACAGATTTGGCCTTTTCTCTGGCAACTCAGCCTTCCTCCCTTGGCCTGGACCCCTGGCTTGATTATTTACCAGTGAACCGAGTAATTCCCCCTCTTTCCCACTCTCTCATCAGCTCAGCTGAAATTCGCTTTCCCTGATTCAAGGGTATGAGGGAAGGAGCAGTTGCCTGGTGCTGAACAGGGAGAGTTTCACAGGAGGAGGGGTTTATATTCCAGAACCAGCACCTTCCCTTTCCTCAAAGGAGGCAGGCTTCCCTCATCCCTTCTTTCTCTTCCTGGGATTGAGGGGTCACAGCGCAGATGCCTTCAGGACACACTCCCTTCAAAGGAGAGCTGGAGTTACAGTCACCTGAGAACCCATGTAAAACTCAAGATTTACAACCCATGGGACAAAAATGCCCCTGCGGCTCCCACCCTTAACGGACATTCTTCATATGCACAGGCCAAGGATGCCTGCATCTCCTTTCCTTCCTCCCCTGGGTTTACTAATCATGATTGAAACTCTCCACTCAAGCCTGAGAGAGTGGGTTGGTTCCGGCCAGACTCAGGCATCAAATTAGAGCCAGAGTGCCTCTTCCAAATCAAATAGTCCTTAGGCCTGTCCTAGAGGAGTCTCTTGACCTTCAAACAGTTGCTATGCTGCTATGAGGGAAATAACAGCATAAACCAATATTATGGTTACAGGGGTGGCTGCCCAGTGCAAAAGAAATTCCCTTTGGTGGGAAGGGGGTTAATAAATAGTGATGGCCCCAACGTCCAGGTTAGTACTGTATAACCCTTCCCCCTTTGACACCTGATTCTGCCTGAGCCAATCAGGTTCTTTCTTCCCAGGAATCCAAAATCTAGCATTGAGAGAACAGAGCCTGGAGCCAGGGGACTGTACCAGAGAAGGTGCACAGACTTCACCAAGTAGTGGTAGTTAAACAGTTCCTTCTGCTCTGTGAGCTGCCCTAGGATCCTTCCAATAAATTCCGTTTGCTTAAGCTAGCCAGAGTTGTTTTTTTTCTTTTTTTTTTTAAATAATTCTTTTATTGTTGTAAAAATATATATATATATAACACATTTGCCAATTCAACATTTTTCAGGTGTACAATTTAGTGGTAGCAGTTACATTAATCATGTTGTGCAACTATCACCCATAATGATTGCCAAATCTTCCCATCACCATAACAGAGTTGGTTTCTTTGCCTGCATTCGAAAGAACTCTAACAAATGCAATGACTGAAAGCATCTTATTTTTCAAGAATAAAATTAAATATTGAATGGGAGGGCCTTGGGTTCTTGACAAGTTTCCCAGACTGACTTTCAGCTGGACCATTTAGAGTTCACGTCTGCTCTGCAGCACAGAAGAGGCACAGGATTTCTGTAAGAAATGGTAATTCATACTCTTGCCCCTCTGCAATGATCATCTGATGTTTTATAACTTCATCTGATGGAAAATTTGCTACCCTATTTTGCAGACGGAGAAGCTAAAGTCCAGCCAAGAATAGAATGTATTTCAGTCTACTTCCCAGCTGGGCATTTCCATTTCAGTCAATGTTCAGAGCCAGAAATCACTCTGTCATTGACAGTGTTTGTTGTTGTGAGTTGCTGTCAGGCCAGCTCATAGCGACTTTATGTATAATAGAACAAAATGTGGCCTGGTCCTGTACCATCTTCATGATCGTTGCTATATTTGAGTCCATTGTTCTGGCTACTGTGCCAATCCATCTCACCAAGGCTTCCCTCACCTTCATTGACCCTCTACTTTACCTTTTCTAGTGATCAGTCTTTCCTGATGACATGTCTAAAGTAAGTGAAGTCTCACCATTCTCACTTCTAAGTATTCTCATTGTATGTTTTCTAAGACCTATATGTTCGTTCTGGTGGTCCAAGATATATTCAATATTCTTCACCAACACCACAGTTTGAATGAACCAGTTCTACTCTGTCTTCTTTTTTTCATTATAGCAAGCATTTCCCACCTCAAGATTTTATTATTCATCCCTTTAAGGTATGCCATCACTGAAACAGATGGAATGGCAAAGCACTTTGTGGAGTCTGGGGTTTCCACCCAGCCCTGGGCTGCCATGTGGTCCTTGTTTCTGCAGACCCTCCCAGTAATTGTTATCTTCCTGGGAAGGACACTTAAGACTCAAAGCATTTTGTAGTCACTTTTAGGCTAGAGTTTTCTTTTTTCTCTAAAACTAATTTCTGCACATTGAAAACATTTTGAACATGCTTAACTTGTAAAGAGAGACGTGTATAATGATCATCTAAGCATCCACTACTGTACTCCAACGATTATCAACATTCTGCCATCCTTGTTTGAAAAGAATATGCTTAAAATCATGTTTCCCTCAGTTTTAATAAAAATGAATTTTCTCTATTGCCATTGAAGTACTCCCAGGTGTGTCTGCACTCAAATGTCATTTTTAGAGTTTCAAAGGGCAAATTCTTCTTTTAATGCAGCACCAAACCTTTTCACAAAGGCAGCTTTTCCTTCTTCACACTTACTTAAAGGGCCACACCTGGAGCTCTGAAACGCTCTAACTATGGGTGAGCCACCCCTTATTTGGGGTCTATTTCTCCTCTCAGAGAGTTACCTAGAACCATGTCCTCAGCTGTCCTTTTAGCCAAGACCTCTGTGGGTCTGGGGTGGCAAACCAGCAAAAGAGGTTTCAGGTTTAGGCGGCTGACAGGGATCCTCTTTCACCAGCTGTGACTCACACATAGGACTCATAAATTGCCCTAGAACTGGCTGTAGCAAACTGATGAAATGCACTTGGCACCAATCTGGAATTTAACCTTCATGTCCACAGCTCCCTGTTACACTCGGTGATGCTGTGAAATACCAGCCCCGTGGCAGCAATCAAGGTAGCCAGGGCTCTCCTACACACGTGCTGGGCAGTGGCCTGAGCTAAGAGTCATGCCATCCTGAGTCTCAATTTTCCCTTTGAGAAGGGGTTCAACATTCTTACCATTGCCTTTCACTCACTGGAGAGAACGGTACAGAGAACTCAGGCTCTGGAATCAGACTGGCTCCACCACTGTGTGGCTTTAGATAATTCCTTCACCGTTCTGTACCTCAGAAAGTTTACTAGTTTCCTCACTAGTAAAAAGGGGATAATGACAGTATATGCCTCCTAGGGTTGTTGTGAACATTACACGAGATACCCCATGTAAAGAATACGTGTGCATGACCTGGCATTTACTGAACAGTTTATAG